CTCGATCGGGAAGCGCAGAGATGATGCTATCAGTGTTTGAATATATCAAATAAACTTGCATAACATTGCATAATCAGTAAATAATAAATTTAATATTTTATTTTGTTTTAAAATTAATTTTAAAGGATTTTAAAGTTTTTTTTTTGTTTTTTTTTTGTAGTTCTTGAAAATTGGAACTCTTTGGCTCAAGGTCGAAGAGAAAGTTTTCCGATTAATTCCGATTACCTCATCGTCTTGCCCGCGAGTTTACGCGTACACTTTCATTGTCGGTCTCGTTGGCGTCTGCGCATCTTGAAGTGGTATATCTACTGCGCTCCGAATAGTGTTTTTACCGACGTTATATTATCTTGTCCATTGTCGAGCCCATTATTCTTCGTCGTTTTGCATGTTTTCGATTCGTTATTTCCACATTTCTTGCGCATTTTACGGTTCCGCGTTGACTTTTAACTTTTTCACTTTTTGAACTCCTTAAATCTTACTCTTTCGACTTTTTTCAACGATAATTTACATCTTGTAAGTGAGAATCAAGAAAGTTAACTTTAATTTTGGCGTTGGCGCGACATTCAGCGGTTCTTTTGATACTTTGAAGCGTTTCTTTCGTTTAAATGCCCACATTGATCGTATGATACCAGTGTGATTCTTTCTGATCCTCTTGATATTTAATATTTATTCATGCGCAGACAAAAAAGCGCTTATATCGCGTTTTATGTGATTGTAATTTTATATGAATGATATTTTACGTAGCACTTAGTTTGCAAATTTGGCAATTTTTCAGAGTTAATCGCTGTTGTAGCATTTAACAGAAGTCGTTAATCGCATTTTGCTCCAAATTTCAAGAGTATCAGCTACATCTTCAACTTTAGTTGTGTGTTACCAATGTAATTGTCACCGGGTCCGGGCGGAAACCGCACAAGTCGCGAAGGAAAGTTCGAAAGAAAGTTGAGCACCTTCATCAGTGTGTCGCGCCGCGCCGAGAAAAGTCCGGCTGTGGGCGTCCGAGACATGCGGCATGGCGTTACAGAAAGACGTAATAAATTACCGCACGTTATTATAACATACTTTTCGCTCGTAAAGCTAAAGTAAATTGAACTTCAAAAGTTGAAAAGTTAAAGATCACTGCGCGTGAAATATGTCTGGCTGGCTCACTGTCGATTCAAGAATGGAATGAGGAATGAGAGAAATGAAGAAATGTATGAAGTCGGCGAGGATTAGGTGTCCTAATCTCTGACATAACCAAATACTTTGAAAATAAATTTAATTACAATTACCAAACAATCATTTGTTTTCGTTTATAACGGAGATATTAGTATTAACTCCAAAACTATTACGTTAAATTAATGATTCTTTGGAGAGTTGCTATCGAAAGCCATCTTAACAAATATCTATAATATAAAGATGAATCTCCAAATATGTTGATAAGCGCCTGAACGAATTTGGCCAATTCTTTTGTTAAAATGTTTGTTAATGTCCAAGGATGGTTTTTACGGCGGGAAAATTTTGAATAACAGCCGGGAAAACCCTAAAGACAGCCTTTTTCTCTAGGATAAAAGTTGGCATTGAGATTCAATCATAGTTATGGCTAAATAGTTGAATCCGAGATGGTGCGCTGAAGTGCATTATTAGCAATTTTTTATATAATTAATTTCTTTAAAATAAAATTGCCAATCTTATTGATAGAATTGACACATACTATGTCTAGAACAAGAGAGTAAAAACATATTATATTTTTATTAAACACTACCGGGACAAAGTCGCGGACAAAAGTTAGTTCTAAACAAAATTTGTATTCCGGCACAACCTAAATTTTTATTGTTTTTGCCATGCTATATAACTAAACTTTTACAATATTTTTAAATACATAAATATTCAACGAATTAATGAATAGTTTTATGCTTAAAATATTTATTTTTAGTACTGCTAATAGCAATTAACCAACAATTACTTATATTATCGATGACGCCGTGCATAACCTTTAATTATCTGCTCCCAAAAAAACGTGTATACTACTCTTGTCAAAGAGCTTAAATGTCATATCAAGCCCGCAGGTAATATTCACATTTATATATGTGCAATTCATTACAACGCGCATTTTGGTAATTATCGCATTCGTCTTCTCATTATGCAAATCAATCACCATGCTCATTCAACTATTTACCTACAAAAATTATATTCATGCACATAATTAGTTATTATTCATACACATAATCATACAATATGTCTTCATTACTCTTCCAGCCATGTGTAACATCCAATAATTAAAAACAGAAATTCAACGCAAGGACGAATCGCCTTCAACCTAAGATGATTCAAGAAAATTTACGAGTGCGCGTCAAGTTGATCCATTGATCCATCTTTGAACATATTGTAGCTGAACAGCGATAATTCACCAGCAGCGTAATCGTTTTGTTGAAACAATATATGTACATTTACGCAGGCATACAGTGAAATGAAATTTAAGAGAAAAAAATTACTTAACATAAACATGTATCGCATCATGAATACGTTTGTATTCAATCGCGAATAGTTAGCGCAGCGTATGTAATGTTGGTGTAATTGTGCAAACAATTCGTGAATTACACCGTGGCAGCGACACACACAAACACTCACATATTATACATATACAAACACAAACGAAAAACGAGTTATCAAGGAGGGATGCCGCGCGAGGCGATTGATACGCCAAAGGTGTTAAAAAAGACAAATATACACATACATCGATATCGAAAGAGGCGGCACGAGCCACTGCGGGTATATAAGGCTTATTGCGCCGAGCAATTGTCGTACAGTTGCTTTGTTTCCATCCAACACAGAAGTGCGCATTTACTTCGGGTTGTAATTTGGTGTGATATTAAAAGCCAGTGATTTACAAACGATAAACATGAAAACCGTAAGTGGCAATAAAAATAAAAACGATTCCCTATACTATTACACAATAAGTGACTTAAGTAATGCCTTAACAATACTTTATTTTTAGATAATTGTATTTTGTGCTATGATGGTTTTGGCTTTTGCCGCTCCACAAGGAGGAAAGGATGCAACAATTTTAAAATTTGAAAATGATGTTAGCCCCGAAGGATATAAATTTGCATATGAAACATCCGATGGCACTGCTCGCGAAGAAGAAGGCACATTAAAAGATCTCGGTGGTGAAGATGGTCAGGCTATTGTTATCACTGGTTCCTTCAATTGGAAGGATGAGAAAACCGGACAAGTGTATACTGTTACATTCACCGCTGATGAAAACGGATACAAACCAAACTTCAAAGCTGCCAAATAAAAGTGCGCAACTTTTTATACACCAACACACACATACACATACACACACATAAAATATCAATACAACGCTTTAATATCAGATACTAGAAATTTGTTTGTACATGCGTTCTGATGTGATTTTATATTGAATATATTTTTATACATGAAAGTATTGTTTTATTTTAAAACGCAAATTATGTCATCAATCATTCGATGTGTTTGAAATCTGGGACTTGTTAATTACCAAATTATTTCTGCAATACTCCATGTTTATTTTTAGCGGTTAAGTAGCTGTTAATTGCACTTTTTACGTGTTTATATTGGGTTGCCGCAAGGTGTGTTGAAATGTGGTTTTTGAATCGGTTTTGAATCATCATCCTAAGTAGCTATTAGATGTTTAGTGACTTGTTTGAATAAATTGCGGTTTTGAGGTTTTGAAGTTTTAAAGTGAGTACAGTTTATACATGCGTTTATTTTTTATTTAAGAATAAAACAAATAAAGCTTACCACTTCGTAGAAACAGGTTATTTAAGGTTTTTAAGTTTTTGTTGTATTTTTGTGTCCTTGCCTCTGGCTGGAGATTCGCCAAATGCCAGGACAATTTAACTTCGCAACGTTTAACATAATTAACATTTCACGTATTTGTTTGGGACGTTTTAACGTTTGTTATCTTATTGATGTTTATTGTACCAATTGGACCAAATTAATTTAAGCTTTGATATATAATTTAATTGTCAAATAATTATGTATTACTTATTTTAAAGTTTTATATGGTAGAATTATGATTTAATTTAATGTGCTAAAAAACTATTGATATTTAATTTTATTATCTTTTGGCGGTGTAATAAATTATTTTTAATGTTTTGAACTATAAAATATGTCATTTTGAGTTTAAGGTCCTTACAAATATTATAAATGAAAATGTGTGTGTGTCGGAATCCTTCCCAATAAATACTCATCCACCAAATTTTATAAACATTGGTATAGAGATATTTATGGACATAGCAATAAAAATAGGCTACATTTTGTTGCAAAAACGTTTAGATTGTATAATATAAGAGATTAAAGATGGTATTACGATTCAATCATAGTTGTAGTTATATTATTTATACCGAGATGGAACTCAAGTGCATAATTTGCATTTTTCATCGTTTTACATTAAAATTACAAATGTAATTGTATTCAACGCATAATATCTAATCCAAGAAATGGAAATTGTGAGTCTACTTTTTATCTAAGCAAATAAAGTGGTGGGCAGTAACTACTATTCTATTAACAAAAATATTAATTCATTGATATAGATTTTAATTTAAACATTTTTAGCATTAATATTTCACACATTAGAAATTCGAGAAATCAATTTATATATTTTTTTCTTGATTTTTAAAGAATGTAATATGCATAATTCACAAAATAAGAACAAGTATGGTTTATACAAAATGGCTTCAGTCTGACTTTGTGCTGGGCATTGAACATATATTTGACAGGATTTTGATGATGTTTTATTGCTTAATTGGATTATAATTTAAAGTAACGTAGATTATCCATCTATTTATTGTTATATTCCTTAACTATTTACATATGTTCATATTTACTTGTTTTTATGATGATGACGTAATATAATGTAAAACTCTGAAAAAAGTATCAATGTTGTTGGGTCAAGGTACACATTTTTCGCCGTCGAGATTTTCTCGGTAACCCTGCTAATATAAAAGCATATTGCACTTCAACCTATGATTAGACACACATCCTTTTTTGCATCAGTACCATTCTGTTGTAGTTTATCATGAAAATATTATACACGCTTTTATTTCTTGGAAGTATTCAGTTTTTAGAGTGTAGACCACAATCAGGTAGATCAATCAGCAACTATGAATATAATCCGTGGGGCAACGCTCCAAATGAAGATCAAAATTATAAGTACAAGTAAGTATTACTTTAATTTCGTAATTAAATTTATAGTAATTAAAATATCTTGAACTTCAAGTTACAATAAAGGGACACTAAATAATGCTGAAGCTCAGCACACCGGAATCGTGGACTCAACTGAAGTAACCATAGTAAGAGCATGTTGTGTTTATGTGGACGATTCGGGTGCAGTGAAAACAGTGTGTTACAATGGTAATCAAAATGGTCATCTTTACCCACCACCGCCATACTCAAGTGATATGCCAACGTTTCCTTCAATTGGATCTGGATTCGGTGGCGACATTCCATCGTTCGCTGCACCAGCAAATTTAATTGCTAGTTTATCAGGAGGTGGATTAGGATAATATAAGTTTTTATGCAAACCTATCTGGTTTTAGTCGTTATTGTCAGATTTACAGTCCAAAAATTTGTTTTTAAATTATGTGTTGCACGTTGCGGTAATATTTGAAATTTTAAAAATTTTGTCTGTAGTAACAAAATTAAAATAAATCAGTATATATAATAGCCATTTTCAATTTGCTTCTTATATTAAAAAATAAAATACTTAAAATAAATTACTTGTATTTGAATGATACGAAGCTTGTGTTACAATGTTTGTCACATTGTTTACAAAGGCGTAAACACATGGGTCGTTACCATACAAATTGATGGCTTATTGCATATTGCCACACCAACAAACAAGCCGAAGTAACACATTTCTAAAGTGCAAAAACATCGCCGAGATTCAATCAAGTCTCGGGTTGCGCAAAGCTGAACCCGAAGTTAAGCCTAAATGCATTACCTAAAGATTTTTGCTTGTTCTGAAGCTATAGACAAATACTATATTTATTACTAAATTCATTGCAGTGTTTTTGCATTTTACAGTTTGCAGCTGCATTTTATACGATTGATTCGCTTGACGGCATTTGCACAATTTGCAAGGTTGTTGGATGCTTCATGTTTAATTAGTGAAGCGACGAAACGCCATTGCCCATAATCATAAAACTTTTCTTTTGTCATTCACGTTTTTATTTTAATAATTTATTTTTTATTTCAATAATTTGAATAATTTATCAGATATGTCTTAAATGTGTTTTAATTTAGATCATTCTGTAAGTAAATTTGTTTGCATATGAACAATATTTCATTACATTGCGTTGTGCATTAAAATGTGATTCAGTGTGTGGCTGAGTACGACGCGAGAAGAGAAGGGAAAGGCAGATGAGCTGACCTATTACCTCACCTTATAAACTAAAGGTTACTTGACAAACGGACGGACCTGCCGACTCGCGCCAGAATTTCTGCGAGCACACACGTGTTTATTTACACTCAATGCCTGGTATCTAATTATAATCAATATAATTGCTAATGAAAACGTATTCAATGCGGCGTCGCCCCGTTGTCGACTGACGGCGCCTTTTTTTGCGTGTAGTTTTTGTTGTTGCGTTTGTTTGGAGTGTAATGCAAAGCCAACGAAGATGCAAGAGATAGATAATCAGAATTACACAAGTCCAGATGATAAATTAATCTTTAATTAGTTAAATATCATTGAATTTCACAAATATTATGGATTATTATGTTATTTTTTTAGGAAAAAGTATAAGTATAGTGTTTTTATATGTTAATTGCTATTTTGTATTTTTTAGGAATAGATAGGTACATGTTGCAGTAATTTTCTTTGCTTTAATGAATATTTTCATTTTCTTTATTGAGCCTTTTACATTTACAAACTGAATTGTATTGCCATCTAGAAGTTTTAAATTACACACTAATGGAAGAGGCGTCAAGTTATTAAACTCGTTTATAGAGGTCGCTTTATGTATCATTTCTAACATTTATTTGACTACTACGATCGCTACGATTGAGAGCATTGTAGTGCAACTACAAATAAATCTCAAAAACTTTAACTTTGTGCTTCTTTTTACCCTGCATTCCGCCACCATGACCGCCGCCTCCGCCGCCACCGCCGCTTTGCCACATCATAGGCCCTCCATGACCTTGTTCTTCTTCCTCTTCTTCCCTATAATATTCTTTTTTGATTATACAAAATTTAATTTGATATTTAAAATTGATTCGTACCACATTGGCATTCCTGGCATCATCATCTGATAATTTGGCGGTGGGTACACAGCAGCGGCAAAAATTGTTTTCACAAGTTGCGGATCTGATTTAGCTTCTGGTTCTGGTAATGGTTGTGCAAGCGGAACTGCCGTGGTGATTGTGGCAAAAATTGCTACGAATATAAATATTTGCAACATGATTGTTGTGTGACTGACGCGATTAGTTATGATGGATGGTAATCCTCTTATATAGTAAACTATGTTTAATTATTTTGATTTTTATCAGATTTCAAACGTTTTTAGTCCACGTCGTAAAATTGATTAACTATCAATAATTGAGCATATATTAAGTAATAAATAAATATGCTACTTTGATTTAAAACAATGAGTATTGTAATTATAGCAGAAACAAGTTGTTTTGTTATTAAAAAAAATTAAAAGTAAAAAAGGTAAAAGGCTATAATTGACACTTTCAAAATGTCAAGGCGTTTGAGAACATCGTTTAGAAGCTTGTACATTTATTTATTTATGAGATTTACTACGCTTCAAATACTGGAGATTCATTACTAAAGAGAAATTACTAAAACATGATTTAATTGAATTATTGTGTTAATTTTGTTCTGTTCAAGCATTAATATCCTAATATTACCTACTTATCAAAATTCTATTTACCATGACAATTATATAAATGACGTGTATATAACTAAATTTCGATAATGTTTTATTACTTTAATAAATTATAATCTGAAATAACGTAGATAATCTTCCTATATTTTATTTGTTATATTTTTTACGTATTCACATACTAATATAATGTGGTTTTTTTGATGATGACGTGATGTAAAACTTTGAAAAAAAGTATCAAACTTGTTTTTTGAAGGTTTGCATATTTATCCCTCAAAATTTTTTAACTCTGCTAATATAAAAGCATATTGCACTTCAAGCTTTTGTTAGACAAACATTCTTTCTTGAATAGGTGCAATTCATCAGTTTAACATGAAAATATTTTACGTGCTTTTATTTCTTGGAAGTGTTCAGTTTTTGGAGTGTAGACCTCAATCAGGTAGAGCAATCCGCAACTATGAATATGGACCGTGGGGCAACCAACAAAATGAAGCACAAAATTATAAATACAGGTATGTATTACTTTACTTTAATAATTTAATTTCTAATAATAAATAAATCTTGAAATTTAAGTTACGAGAATGGATTACTTACAATAAGAGGATGTTGTATTTATGTGGACGATTGGGGTGTAATGCATAAATTGTGTTACATTGCTAATCAAAATGGTTATCAAATATTTTCACTTGACCCACCGTCGACATCTTCAAATGATATGCCATCAAATGCAGGCGCACTCCCTGGACATGGAGTGGCTACTTTATCAGGTGGTGGATTAGGATAATATAAGTTTTTACGCAAGCCAATCTGATTTAAGTTGATATTGTATGAGTTTTGGCCCAAAAATTTATATTCACATTTTTATTATAAATTATATCTCAAATACACTAAACTTATGCTTACTTATTTTGTTTATACATTTTTTTGCACTAACGTAAAAGGAAACAAACAAAATTACAGGAAATTTTGCGATGGTACCGCGTATTTATAAGAACAGTCCATCGAAGATGTAAAATGGAATATTACACGTTGTATAGAAAAAACTCATACAAAACACTAATTGTTTACAATAAATGCAAATAAAAGTGTGTCTGTTTATTTTTAATTCTTTCACAAACTAACCACCCCAGCCAATTTTGTTCAATATTGGTATTATGATATCTTCTATATCAAAAATAATTAATTAAAATATAAAAAAATTAAAAATAATTAAGTGAGAAGTTTCTTAAAGGAGTTGGCGCATAATTGAACCAAAAAACAAGAAATCAATAATTATTTACGTATTTGCTCAATACTGAAGTAGAATAAGTAACATAACATTAATTGGCAAAGTACTCTGTTACGTATGAGTTATTCTTTGTTCTTTTTTACATCCAATTTTTCTTTAAATCTATAGTACTCATGTAATTACACTTTAATATAAAATACTTATTAATTATGGCATTTATTGTTTTATTGGGTTTTATAACCGCACTGTAACCAATTTTATTGCCAATAAATGGTTCTGGTACATTAAAAAAGGATAAAAATGTATTTTTATTACTTTCTTTGGTGAATACGTAATCCATGTTGTATATTTATAAAAAATATTTATTTATTAAACATTATACGTGATTTTGGATTTACAATTTTATTTTTGAGTTGACATGTTTCGCCCAGAGGGCATCTTCATAAACTGACTTTAGTAGGTTTGTTAGGGGTGTTTTGTGTGTCAAGTGTTTGTGTTATTGTGTGTTATCGTGCTTGTGGGAATGTGTAGTTTGTTAAGTGGTTTAAAAATTGTGTCGTGTATTGAGTGTGTCTGTTCGTTTAGTAATTGGTGTTTGATTTTGTGTTTGTATATCTGTATGTGTTCTTTAATGTTTAAAAATTTATCTGTGGATGATTTTAATATTGTAAGTGTATTGTCTATTGTGTTGTGTTGGTGATTGTGTTGTAAGGTGTGTTTTGCATAGTGTGAGTGGTATGTGTGTGGATTTTTTATTGCGTTTGTGTGTTCTTGGTATCTGATTTTCATGTTTCTGTTAGTTTTCCCTATGTATATTCTATTGCATGTGTTACAAGTGATTTTATAGATGCCGCTGTTATTGTATTTGTTTGTGTTTAGTGTTGTGTGTTAATGCTGTTATTTTGTTCTGTTTCAGTGGTAAATGTTAGGTTGTTATGTGTGTTGTTGATTATGTTTTGTATATCTATTATATTATGTTGTTCGTGTATGATAAATAAGATGTCGTCTACGTATCTGTACCATTGAAAAATGTGTGTATTTTTGTTTTATGTTTCTAATTATTGTTTCTTCTATTGTCTGTAGAAAAATTTCGCTAATGAAACCTTTTAGACATAAACATAACAAAACACAAAACAAAATTCGATTTTAACATTTACAGAAAACCCACAGATACAAACAACATAATCCACACCACATCACATCATCCACTACAACACAAAAATGCCTTCTTTAGATTCAGTTTCAACAGATTAATAAACACACCACTAGACGAAATTAAATACAACATTGAATACAATAAAATAATTAAAATAGCAATAGAAAACGGATACACACAAACGCACGTAAACAAAATATACAATAAAATCATAAAACAAAATCACAACAAATCCACAACAAAACACAACACAGACACAACCATAGACAACACAAACACAACCACCAAATTCCATACATTCCACTACATAGACAAAGATACATATAACATCACAAAAATATTCAAAAACCATAGAATTGCCTATAAAACAAATCAAAAACTATTCAACAAACTACAAACGCACACAACACTAAACACAAACAAATACAATAACAGCGGCATCTATAAAATCACTTGTAACACATGCAATAGAATATATATAGGGAAAACTAACAGAAACATGAAAATCAGATACCAAGAACACACAAACGCAATAAAAAATCCACACACATACCACTCACACTATGCAAAACACATCTTACAACACAATCACCAACACAACACAATAGACAATACACTTACAATATTAAAATCATCCACAGATAAATTTTTAAACATTAAAGAACACATACAGATATACAAACACAAAATCAAACACCAATTACTAAACGAACAGACACACTCAATACACGACACAATTTTTAAACCACTTAACAAACTACACATTCCCACAAGCACGATAACACACAATAACACAAACACTTGACACACAAAACACCCCTAACAAACCTACTAAAGTCAGTTTATGAAGATGCCCTCTGGGCGAAACATGTCAACTCAAAAATAAAATTGTAAATCCAAAATCACGTATAATGTTTAATAAATAAATATTTTTTATAAAAATGTATTTGTTTATATATTGCATTTTGCATTTTTGAGTAAATAAATATAATACATTAATTAATTTCATATCAGTTAGATTAGCTATAATTCTTTATTTTGCCACGTTTGATGTATTAAAAGTAGTTCCACTTTTCCAATTTTCACAAAACTATTGAAAAACCGGCGCATTAAAGGAAGAAGTAGAAGATATATTTTTGTGTGTAATTATTAATAATTATAGCATTTATGGTTTTATTGTCTTTTGTATCCTCATTGTAACTTATCTTATGGGCAATAAATGGTTCTGGTACATTAAAATTGATTCATGATTTAATTGTTTATACATCGCATTTTGCATTTTTGTGCATAGTTCCACGATAAAATGGAAGTATATAAGAAGTTTTTTTAATCTTATGTTAGTTATCTGGAACTCATTTTTCAGAAAAGTAATACATCTGTTCAAAAATGAAATCCTTCTTCGTGGTTTTGCTGCTTGCAGTTGTTTGCGTCCAATTACTGGAATGCCGTTATGTTATCCGTAGATCTGGTGACAGCAATGATATAAATCATGCACCTTCTTTGTACCTATGTATCAACTTTATTACTCAAATTTAAATTAATAAGTAATGTTTTTAGGGATGAAAGAACCGAATTTCTATTACAGAACGTTACATGAATATTTGGTTCGCAACATGAAACCAAGAAGTGCTCGAATTGGTACTGCCTTACAATTATCTTTGCTGGAGGTGGTTTGGGTAAGAAATAAAAATTACTGGTCTGTTTTCTCAATAAAAATGAATAAACGATTTAATGAATAAATATTAGCATCTTAATCAAGTGGCCAAACTAGAGTTTTCCATACATTTTATTTCCCGGTTGAGGTTTTTGTATTTTAAATCTTTGAAATTCGCTCGTACACCACCGGGAAATGTAAGGATATTAATGTTTGACTGGCGACGGTCTGGTGCTGCACCGTAGGCTAATGCGCAGGCGCAAGCTCCGCCCCGTAGATAATGCTCGTAAATAAAGTAGTGACGGCATTGCCGTGACTAAAAACGCTCTCAGTAAAAATACATTTATAAAACAAATTTGATGTTTTTTTTTTTAAATTAAAATTTACATGTGCGCGAACCGCTATAGATAAAATTCTTAGTCTTGCCAGTAATAAAATAACATTCCAAATACCCAAAGAATCTAAAAGAATTCAGACTAATGTCTTAATGCCTCAATGTTGATTGCGCATTCTAATGCCTGCTAATTGTCAATGCCTTGCTTCAAGAATGAAGAACCATCAAGACCATCAAGTGATAGTGATGGCACATCTAATGAGATGAGTGAATTTCACACGCATTTACCTATACTCTATTATAATTAATCAATTAAAACGATAAACAGATTACCACGCACAGCTGCGTCGACAGATGCGTCGACCTTGCAGGCCGTCTGCACTGTCGCTTGCGCAACGCATCGGCGGACGCCATTTGCAAAAAACATATGGCGAAAAGTACCTAAATAGATCCACGACGCTTCGTTATTCAATACAAATGAGGCGTAAATGTCAACGGCAATACGATTGAAATTACCATTTTGTTTCATGCGTTTGTTACAATCATTAACTGGATAAATTAAAATATTATTTCACCTGAAAAGAAAAAAAATCGTCGATAAAATTGTCTTAATATGAGATTCAACTTGCTTTGGAGATGAAAAGAGGGCTCGACCAGTTGCAACTTCTTTTTGTGTGCGGTGGAAGATTGACGAGCGCTTTGAAATAATTCTGCACGAATCCTGCGCGTTCCATCACGCTCGCACAAAAGCAAAACAGCGTGGAATGTTTAAATTTATTATGTAATGATTAGCCGTTCTCACATTTACACATTCACACATTGCGTATAAGTTAGTAATTAATTATTATGATTATAGGTAATTTTTAGGTTTATTGAATGAATATTCCATCAATTCGGTGATGATTTGCATAAAAGCTTATTTTTTATTTTGTTAAACAAAATTCAAAAACACTAGAATAGAAAATTGAAGGATGATTTGTATAAAATAAATAAAAATTTTGCGCATTATGCTTACGAATGTCTCTAAGTATATTCATTTGCCTTTCGCCGACCGATCTCGATCGCGATCTCATAAAAGTTGGTTAACAATAAATTCGCCGTGCAAGTATCGTTTACTGACACGCGATTGCACCATCCTTTTGAAGTACGAGTATGCGCTATGAGTGCCATCGCTAAGCCGATTTTGTTGGCGCATGTGAAACAATTATCATAATAAATATATAGAACATTGTTAGACAACTCTTCACGTGGAGGTTACAAATTTATTTATTTACGGCCGACATCTATAACTCAATGGCTTTTTGTGTGCATAAATTTATAACTGTTTAAAAATATTAGCAATGAAAGGACATGCAATGTATGACATTTTAATGGGATGTTCTAATATTTATAAAGGTTTACGAACAATGAGTAAATGCATCACATTTATGCATTATATACGCTCAAAAACGTAAAAAAAATAAAAATTTAAAAAAATTTAAATTAAATGTTATTTTGGTTGCCTATGCATGGTTAACGTATAACTTAGGTTATACATGTCAATTTTATCTATAATTTTAATGGATTTCAACGCATCAATAAACTTTGCAAGTAATTAAAGCTATAAATTGAAACGCATTTCTGTAATAGCAGGTCACCAATGCGTAAAAATGCATAAAACGTGTGCAAATCAATATGATGATGAGCAGCATCTCAGCAGCATTACAACTCATTACACATTACATTGCATTACATTACATGATTACGTAGGTATAGAAAACATTTAGTTATCAAGAGCAAATTGTGTATTTAAACACATATTAGTATAATTCTATGAATTTTGATGCAAATGTAATTAGATTAAACCGAAAAGAATGACACAATGATGAATCGTTGAGATTCCTGCACGAAAATGTGTTCTGATTAATTTGTCGATGCGACCATCACCGTCGTGATGTGTGCTCTAATGCTCCTAATGGAGCGGCATTACATGCATTAGGCGCTTTTTCGATGCATTTGATGCACTTTCCGAGAGAGTGGGGTGGTTGGTATGCGACGCCGGCGACGAAATCCCGGCGGGGTGGCTGCTCCGATTTTGATGCGATATATAAAGGGAAGATTCGGCGGCAATTATCTGCATTAGCGGTTTTACCAATTGCTCGGTAGCTACCAATATTTAAATCAATACATTGTAATCTTAGGTTTTACGGTTTGCAAATTACGTTTTTTTTGTGCTGGTATCATACCAAAGTGTGTAGAAAATTTTAAACAAGTGAATAATGAAGTGGGTAAGTGCAAAGTTTTATTGTATAATTCTTAATTTGTTAATACTTATGGAAATATTAACGAAAATCACATTTTGAAACAAATTCAATTCAAATTTACACAAAATAATTGATTTAATTATATTATCTAAAGAAATATTAAATGTTTCAGATAAATTTAATTAAAATATTTAGTTATTTAAAGATTACAATTAACACAAATTTTGTATAGATTATTATTGATATAGAATTACGAAAAAAAATTATTTTTGATTTTCTTTTTAATTTGTAAACCGAAATCCAAATTTGATAGTAAAATATAAGCTACTGCAATTTACACAGTTCATAAAAGTTAATAGCGCTCGTAAAATGTTTTGTTTAAGGTGTTTTGAGACAGGTGAAGGCATTAAATGCAAAAAAATTAATTTTAGTCCAAAATATTAAAATTTAAGAAATAAAACATAAATTGACTGTAATATAACGTTAATTTTCTAAATATTTTGTTAAAAATATTTAAACTGCCTTAAAATTATCCAAATTTCTACTAATAAAATTGATATAAGTAATTGTTTGGATACAAATGTTTTAATTTCATTAAAATCTAAGAATTCTATACATAAAACTTACATAAGTTCACACGTATTCTCACAAACCAAAATTAGCAATCGATCAATTTCCAATTAATTGAAAAATTACTTAATATCTAACCGCGTAATAAAAAAAGAAGAGCAGTGAGTAAAACGAAATAAGGTGAAATACCTAGACGTCTCCGCGCGTGTCACGCAACACCGTGGGCAGGCGTGCAGATAAATCTATTTCGAGCGATCAAGGAAGCCGAGAACCACCTTCAATGGTGATAAATTCTCCGCCAAAGTACTTGCTCTCGTACTTTCCTTCCAACGCAACGCAACGCGATGCAACACAAGCGCATCTCATATTGCATTGCGAATTGCTCTTATCGGCAGGCTTGCGCAATCGGCTCATTTTTCGACTCACACAAGTCGCGCCGCCGCGTCCATATTAGTATCGCGATTTATGACAACGTAACCGTCGAGTCCGAGACTGCCGTGATGAGCATCGTCGTGCATCATCATCTCGAGTGTCGTGCAAAAGACAACATAACAAGACACTAGCTTGTTTTGTTATGTGCTCTTGGCGAGCCAAGATGAAGTTGTTTCCAAACACGACCGTGCGGTTACATATTTTACGATTGCAACAAATCCCAAGCGATAACTGAGACATAAATGTACATTGGATGATGCAAGTGATTTGAATAATTATTCCAAATGTATTTATTTTGTCAATTACATGTTTTTATCTTGTAAATTTTCTGCGCATGCGCGAATAAAATACTTATGTAGAACAAGTTGCAGCTTCAAGCGTTAATGAGTTTGATGGTTGCGCATCATAACCTTGCCCGAGATACGACATTCGACGTGTTTAGTAAACATTCACGCTTGTCATTTACATCTAGGCTTCTTTCGCGAAACCCTGAAACTATAAATGGACCGATGTATGCGTATATGCGTAATTGAGCATAAACTAATCCAAAATGAGCATTTTCCAAAATGTTACCATGAATATAAAAATTCAAGATGGCTGCGATTTCATTTTAAACGATTTTGTAAATTCAAAACAGTTGAAAGTTTGTTAAAAGTAGCAAAATACTTGAATCTCTTGAAGATTCTTTCGATTGTACGATATCTTCGTGCGCGGTGAACGGAGGAAGAATGGGTAGCAACAAGCGAGAGTTGTTTATTTCATTCGAATATAAATCTCAACAGCGCGTTGTTTATGTTTGCAGTTGATCGTCGCAACGTTGGTGAGTGTGTCGTGCGCAGCACGCTTGGAAAACACGTATCTGCCGCCGAATGGTGCGGGCGGCGCTGGTGGCGGACCGATTATTGAACCACCAAGACCTGGCGGCGGTGGTAAGTCTTAATAAAATTAACATTTATATTAATGAAGTTTTTTAATAGTATATGCAAATTACAATATAATAGTTATTACAATAGTAACTTCTGCAATTGTAAAGTTCAAGATTAGAATAAATTAATTGTTCTTGCGGTTGTTGTTAGTTCTTTTGTCTTTAACATATCAGCGGCGCGTTGCATTCGCTCGTAACTCAAGCAGCAGCGAGTGAAATAGCGTCTTGCGATGTGCATCGCGTGTTCGTCGAAAACTCGTGAAAGGTTATTACGTGCTCCAAATAAAATCAACGTGAAGGGTGGATGAGTGCACGATCCTTTCGAATATCGCGCGAATCTGTTTACAATCCGACTGCTAGTCTTGATATTGCAAACAGTTAGATGTTCGATTGCTAAATTCAAGATTTCACAGTTGAAGCTAATTTAGCAACAACGATTTGAAGGAATTAATTATTTTATTTTAATGATTTTTTAGGTGGTAAACCTGGTGGCACATATGGACCACCCGGAGGTGGATCAGGAGGAGGTGGTGGAGGAGGCGGCGGCGGTGGCGGCGGAGGTGGGGGAGGTGGGGCTGGAGGAAGCAATCCTGATGCAGATGCCACTATCCTGAGTTATGAAAATGAAAATAATGGAGATGGCAATTATAAATACAGGTAATCATTATTTATATTATATATATATAAGTGTATGTTAGTTTGTTTATATGTTACGCTTTTACGGAAAAACCACCAGACCAATTTTGATAAATTTTTGTGTAGTGATACTTCTGAATAAGGAAAATAATATTGATTACCTTTTGTTCCAAAAATATTACTTAAAAGATGTAAAATAAGTGATTAAAGTTGATATGGAGATTTATTAAGAATTATTGTTCTATAATTCTCATCCAGATGGCTCTGGAGCGCATTTTTACACAGTTTTATTTTTTAATATATAATTGAGTATATATTTTGCGGATTTGAGAGAAAATAAATTCAAAAAATAAAAATTTAGGCAATTTCAATTAAAATCTATTTTATTTTCCATTGATTTGTATCTGATTATATAATTATTGTAGCTATGAAACATCAAATGGAATCAAAGCCGAAGAACAAGGTGAATTGAAAAACGCTGGTTCCGAAAATGAAATTGAATCCGTGAAAGGTTCCTATTCCTACACGGACCCAGATGGTAATGTCATCACCGTAGAATACACCGCCGATGAGAATGGTTTCGTTCCCAAAGGTGATCATCTGCCAACACCGCCACCAATCCCTGATGAAATCCTCAAGTCACTGGAAATGAACGCCGCTGAAGAAGCAGCCGGTGGTGGTGAAGGTGGTAGCGCTGGTTATCCAAGTGGAAATGGTGGTGGTGGAGGTGGTGGTAATGGGGGCGGCAACGGTTACAAATATTAAGTGAGTTTAATACAATTTTAAAGCATTATTATGAGTAATAATAAAATAATAATGCTTTTAGAGTTTTCGTCACTGATAGAAGACTAATATAGCACCCTGGGCACAATCTACACCGCTTGCAACTTGAATCAACTTGAATCTTGAAAACTACGTATTTAAGCTTCCAGTTCTAATTAGTCAGAAACACACACATATCTTCTATACATCCCGATTTTTATTTTATCCCTCTATTTTATTCCCTGGTTCCTTATTTCCTGGTTTTGGATGATGCAGATATTTCTTGGAGTCTTTTTTCGCAAATGCACAGAAAATGTATTATCGCACATAAATTAAGTTATTGCAGCTTTAATTTACTGATGTACAAATTGCTTTGATCATGTATTAGGTATACGCAGTACAATGTATGTTATTATCGATAATTAGCAAAGACATAGTTTTATACTTTGACAACAGTCTGTACCATACACGATTATATTTTATTCACACGATATTTGTAACACAAATTATTCGTATGTGTTGTGTTCATTTTTAAGTTGCATGCATTTTTAAATAAAATGATATGAGTAATATACAATTCTAATATATTTTTATTCTTTTCATTATAATCTGATCGAAAAATTCTTTCTGCTTATTTTGAACTATTTGGTGTGATTATTATTTATTAAATTCAGTTTAGATTCTTGAAAAAATCGTAAAAATTATTTTGTTCACTTTTGCTTATTTTTGAAAGAGAAGTAAAGAAAAGTAAGTAAAAGTTGTATTTTTTTACTTTTCAACTTTTGTTTGGATGGTTTATATTTCCTAATTGACATTTGGCGTTGTACTAATTTAATTAACAGCTAATTGTAATATTTATCCGTGCGTCAATTAAATTGTTTATAACTTATACTCAATCAAATATTTATAGCTCATTACCATATAAATATTATAAATATGAGAAAACAAATATATTTGTAAAAATGTTACAACAATTCTTAAAGAAAAAAATTATTCAGTCTTTCATTTGGAAGTGCAAGGTATGCACATAGTTCACAATGAATATGAAATTAATTACTGTCGTAGTTGCTGTAATGTCACTTGTTGCAATTAGTGAGTACAAATTTGTTACATATTTTAATGTTACTTAATTAATTTGTTATGTACCTATACATATTACTTACACATATTTGACTTTTTAGGTTTTGCCGCACCTGCTCCATCACCAATAGCAAATCCAAACGGCGGCTATGATTTTGATTACACACATACAGGGCCTCTTATTGCGCACATGCGAAATGGGAACGATGTGATTATCATTTTTACGCCAACTCAAGTGCAAATGAACATTCAAAAATGTATACATAATAGACACTAACATTATTAATCATGTAAATAAATTATTACTATCGTCATAGGTTGTTTTAAAATTATTTTGACTATAATTAATGAGAAATTAAAGGAAAAAAAAAACAATTTGTTGACATTATGACATAGTAAGCGTATAATTTATTTATATTTAACAAGAAAATGTTTAATTGATTACGATAAAATGGTGACTACTGTGATTGTCAACAGTGAAGGACCCAGGGCTTCTCAAACTTTGCGAATATGCATTATTCCACGACACGTTTTAGAAAATTGAACTTTTTGTGGTTGTAGGGCTGTATAGAGCGTTTATTTTAAGCCTTGTCCTAGAGAATTACAAAAGAAAATAAAATTCAATAAAGAAAACAAAGTTTTTGCTAAAAAAATAAAATTATATCAAATAATAGTACAAGTGACGAGTTTTACATTATCTTAGGCCAAACTTGAATTTCGTATAAAAATGTTGAAAAACTCTGGCATACAATATCATTAATTAATGGATTAATGTCGTGTTGGTAAACAAGTGATTTGCATGTGTGTTGTGAGCAAACACGCTTGTTTGTTACTTTTTTTGCGGTTGTAGTATTTCTTCGTATGATGTGATAAAGAAAACCAGGCAGAGGCAAATAAACCAATCATGTTTTAAAATCAACGATGAACTACGACTATTCCTCAAGGCTGTGGATGATTGTCCTGTTGTCATCTTGTAATTTGCATTAACTCAATCTTTATTTAATTGACTATACGAATAAATATAATTTAATCAAACGGTTAGCAGTAAAGATGGCTATAAATTAACCAATCAAAAATGGTTGCTAAGTAGCAAGCAAAACATTTTGATGTTTTTTTCTTACAACTGCGTTAAATTTTGTTTTTGTTGGCGTAAATCTTAATAAAATATAATCTTGATTTAATTATGAGCTAAATTTGTAAATGCGATCCTCATTTTTATTTAAAAAAAAATCAAAAATGTTCCGTTTCCTTGGTCCAAACAATCTCCATTCAAACCTTGATCAAAATTAGTTAATAGGTTTTTGCCTGAAAGCGTCACAAACCATCAATTATTTGCAATTATAAAATTACAACTAAATAAGGAATAAATCTTAAATTTTAATAAAGTTTCCAGTACTTTACCTTATGTCTCTGTGGCATACTAATAAAGTGAAAGGTTATTAATCTTAATCACTATTAATTGACAATTCGTTGAACAAGTTACAATGCAATATTCCTGTAAGTTCAAATTATATTTACTTGACAGGCAACGTTAAAAGTTTTAAATATCGACGAATCAATCAGATAGGAAGGACTCAATTTACTCAACTTTAATCAAGTCTAACCGTCTGAGCTTCAGTAAACAGCATACTTTGCGCTTGTTACGATCGGTTACGTTTTAAAACGTCGAATTAACGAATTAGGTTTATTATAAATGCGTGACACGCTTGAATAATACCTACAACAATCCAAATGGAAATTGCATCGACAACACGCTTTGCGATAAAAACATTTTGATTCACGGACGAGATAATTGTTTCGCAAATATTTTCGGTATGAATTATGGACATAAACACATAACTTTATCACGTTTATTAATAATAAAAATTAATTTCAAAACAATTAAATGATATTATAGAAAATTATTAACATCATCGTAAAGCCAATAAATGGCACTTAGTTGGGTTAAATTTAGCAAGAAAAATTTTATTACTTCATTACTGGCTGTCAACGTTTTTTTGTTAATGAGTTCTGTTCATTGTTGCCACAGTTGAGCGTAAATTAGTCGCAAGCGTGAATTGAGTTATGATATTGGTGACCTAAAACACTCACGGTCATCGAGTGAATTAGGAAATTCTTAATTTTGTCGGCGAAAAATTTAATTAACATAACAATTAATAAATAATATACAATAAAACAATAAAATACAATTTGGTTATTATTTCTTTTTTGAAATGTGTGTTACAGATTTTTCAATAGTTTATTAAGTATCCATTTGTATCATATGGTCTTGTGCTGCACCGTAGGGAAACGCGCAGGCGCAGGCTCCGCCCCGTGCATAAAACCCGTGAGTAAATTACTTTAGTCACGGTCATGATTAAAGTACAACTTTTGTATCTAAAAACCGTGGAAAAACTCGCGTTTTAAGGTGGAAGAAAAAAATTAAATATTTTTGCATTATCAACTGTGTCTTATAAGAAATACGTGAAAAACAATTTGAAAATCTGTATCACAACTCATTAAACCCAAAATTGAAGAAATTAAATATAATAGCTAAATATACAGTATTAATTTTTATGTATACCACAGTATTTACAGATTTGATATATGAGAGTAATGAAAGTGAGGCGTATACGCAAATTTAAACTCTAGTTGCTGCAATAGGTCACACTTTCAAAATTAAACTTTTTCGTAATCGTCTGTCGGCTTCTGACAATTAACATTTTTTTTAAGGTACGAATAACTTTATGCATTTATGGAATAACTATCGATAGCATTTTATTCATTTTGAATGCGTTTTTTTGCTAATATTATCTGCTAAATAAACTTGACACAGCTATAAAAAAAATTAACAATAAAAATGTGCGCTGATGCTTCTTGATAAATGATGCGGTTTTATGATACGAACCTAAAAATTAAATTAACATATGGTAACACCTTATATGTAAACATGCCATAAAAATCATAAAATCTTAAAAAGTTTAAGCAAATATTTTTTTTATAATTCAATATTTTAATATATAGTTATAAAAGTTGCAAATGTTAATCATATTAAGTGTGAGTAATTGAAAACGCTCTGATGATGAATATCAAAAGATGACCATGTCAGAAATATTCCCACAATAAACTGTTTGGAGGCATTATTGTCCTTCTAAAATACAAACAAACACAATAAAACATTTCATTTCTGAAAGCATTGACAACCTCAATTATTTCAAAGAAGAAAAAATCATGACTTTTGAACTGTGGTCAAAAGTTCAAAAGTACATTCAAGTCAAGATATAATTTTGACATTTTTACAATGTCAATAAAACGAATTATTGTAGTAAAGAGTTAATTACGTGCTTTAATGTCTTACTCGGTCAAGTTCATTGCAAGAAAATGAAAGCAAATGAAAACGAAAGCATTTACTGAAATAATAAAATACTAAAACCTACATAGATACAATCAAAGAGCGAAAGTGAAAAACAAAGCAAAAGGTCAAGTTCGTTAAGTAAAAAACGAGATTTTGAGAACTCTAGAGTTTAAGAACTTGAGAGTTTTTAGAGCTCAAGATCTGTACAGAACCAAGTTTACGTTTCGCTTTCAGATAAACTTTCTTTTTGTGCGAAAGAAGCGCACGTAGACTTATATTACTTACGTTGAGTAACTTCATGTGAGAGAGTGCTACTTAACCGTACATCAAACTGGAACTTCATCATCGATGAAATAATGATACTCGTAATATGATGAGTATTAAACCACAAAAAGAAAAATTTTACTTAGCATTAGTCATTCAAAAATTTAAAAATTAAAAATTTATATTCAAAGCGGAAGTTTTAAATTCTTAAGTCGTAGATAATGTATATTTTAAGAATCCTTCAATATCAACGTTAATTGTATGTTCCACTCGAGATTATTCATGTTTTTCGTTTTTTTTTTGCTCGCCGATTGTCTTGAGTTTTTATTGTTTGAACGATGAATTGTTGAAATGTAGTTGAAGAAATAAATGATTCGCGCTCGCAAAACAATTAACACGTTCTAAATATCTAGATAATCATGAGAAGTCGTGTCGAATCCTGCGATTTTTGATAATTAGGCTTAAAGTTGAAGGCCACCGCTTGGCTTTTCATAAATAACACATAATTACATAACGGAACTGTTTCAAAAGTAAACAAAACAAGAATAATGGCCCAAAATTTAAAAATCTTTTATGCTAAAAATATGTTTTGTGCGTAGAACAATTGTTGTAATAAATAATTTTAATATTCACTTTCTATTTGGTTTCAATCTGTCTGAATTAAATAAATTTTATGCTAAATGTAGCAAAATTTTGTATAAGATATTCCATAAAATAATATTATTATAATTTATACTGTTTATTGCTTATTTGTTTTTTGTTCAGATGGTCATATCTTCACATATGAATATTTGTTTAAGGAAGTTTGTATTTTCGTACTGGGCGGGCGACTTTTTACATAATCTTTTCTCAATGTTGCGCCAGACAAGAAGCAAATTCTGATAAATAAATAAATAACAATCGGCAATAACTGTCAGTGGTCGATGCATAAATTTGCCATGAAACAAGGAACGTGTGAGAAAAAAATTGAATTTCACTCCAGAAATTGCCATTTTTGCCAATTTTGGGCACATATTACGTATTTAAACATTTTAAAGAATTTATTTTTAGATTTTAAGAATTTAACCTATAAAAGCCGTCTTAAAAGCACCAATAAAACAATTAATTAACACTTTTAAACTTAAACCTGTAAAACGCAACGATTAAATTTCATAAAGTAATAAGAACTTTTAATTAACATCTAAGTAATATTTCTACTAACGTTTTGTACCCAATTTCACATTGGTAAACCATTTAAAGTCAGAAAACAGAAGCGTATTAAACAAATCTATCGTTTTTTTAGCATATTTATTTGCATATGTATTAAAGTATTTAAATTCTTCACTGGCGAAGAGTTCTTTCATGAGAAACGTCGATGATTAAATTGTACACGCGAAAAGCCATTAGAATGCATTAAATGTTTACGAAATACATAACACTTGCGCACACAACGAGACGCAATTTTGCTAATCGGCGCTGAGCGCGCTCGTTGCGCACTTTATTCTTTTGTTGCGATTCCGGGCGATGGGCAAACAATTTGTTTACGAGCTGCCAACAGCGGAATGTATCAACAATGCAAAGCCAACAAAAGACTAAAACTCTGAATGCATTGTAATTGAATAGATTTAAAAGCATAAAAATATATTTTTAGTTTTTGAACATTTTTTATTCATTGCAAAATTTAAGCAAAAATAAAATAAAATTTTTGGTACCATTTTTCTTTTATAATGTTTATTGCATATTACATGTTTCCATGCAGACGATACGAGTATTGTGATTTGTGTCGGCGTGTTGCGGATGCAACCTTTTCCGTAAAGGTTGCGCCCGTATATTAATAACAATAAAAAGACATTCGAAAGTTTTTCACCTTTTTGTCGAGTACACACGCGAATGTGTAACGCCTTACAAGCGATTTTGTTGCGATTCATTCATCAAACGACGCCTCTGCTTTCATTCTTACCTTTTTCATATTTTATCCAGAGTCAAATGTCAAAAATCAAAGCGCTCAAAACATATAAACATATATCGTGTTGTTATAACATTTAAAAGTTTCAGATTTTTATTTCTATACAATAGAAAATAAATTTATACCTACATGTTTCTTTGTTGTGTGATTTTTAAAGATATATACTGATTATATCACACATTGAAATTAATTTAATTTTCTTACATTCTCAACATTAGCGCATCGATATTTATTTTGATAGAGAAAAGAAAGAAGGTCGGGTCAGCATTGGGCAAGGGAAGCCTCGTCACCCGAAACTTCCAAACTTAGATGCTCTCGCAATACGCACGAATTATTATATTTTTTTACATCTACAATCCATCTTAGTTGATTATTTCGTATTCACTCATTCACTTTTGTTCTGTTATTCAGCGCCTCTGAGTCGTGATGTGCGATGATTATTACTTCACTTATTGCCTTATTGCTCGCGTCTAAAAATATAAAATTATAAACAAAACCAGTACTGGTAATACTCGGATGATGTGTGGAACAGTGGAACACAAAAGTTATGTGTGTGTGTGTGTGTGTGTGTGTGTTGGAATTTTTATTTTTGAAGGGGCGCTGGCGTTCATCGCACGTGGTGGGATTACTTACAAGCAATGCCGCCCGAAGAAGCTGATGCTCACGGGTATAAATTCTGTCGATGGCTCTGTGGATTCTCAGAGTCGTTTGTCATCTTGTTTGCATCGCTATAACAATCGCAATTTTGGATTAATTTTTAGTGCTAATTGGAGTGTAATCAACAATCATGAAATATATTGTAAGTAATTATTATTAATAATAAATGAAAAAATATATATTTTTTTAATTTTTATTTATTTTTTAAAATTTTTTAAATTTTTATGAAATTGTATTAACAGATTAAAAAAATTAAATTGCAAATAGGGCTTACTTACTAATAACTGAAAAATAATATAATTACAATTTTTAATTAATTTTTTTAGTCTCCATGAAAAATTGAGTATATATTAGTTTGTACAGAATAAGTTTTAGAACATTTAATTGCGAGTATTATTGGTTGCCTAATTAACGTGTTAATATTTTTTTTTAATTTTAACGGCGTTGCTTCTTTTTAATTTGCATTGCTGTTTACATTATGAGAGAGTAAAAATTAAGCTTCATCATACAGCAGTGTCTTGCTTAATTTCATTCAATTTACTACGAGTATTTACCAATTCATAAATCAACATCTCGTAGCGCGCGACGGCCTACTACAAAGCAAGTGAAGTTAATGTCAGCCTATGCAAATTGACGCATAAATTACATTTTCAAGATTTTGAGAAACAATAAAAGAATCGTGTGAAGTAATTTTTTAAGTAATGTGTAAACCAAATTGCTTAATAGGCTTTTAAAAAATCTCATAGTAATAATGATGTGTTTTTAGGTTTTTGTAGCTTTAATCGGCGTTACCATTGCCGCCCCTCAAGGACCAACAACCGAACCGGTCCCAATTCTTCGTCAAGAACAGGAAGTTAATTTTGATGGTTCCTATAAGTGGAAGTAAGTTTAGATGTTTAATACTTGTATTCTTGGATAATTAAAGCTTATCTTTGTTGTAGTTATGAAACAGGAAACAGTATCACAGCTGAAGAACAAGGTTTCCTGAAAAATGCTGGTCAGCCCGAGCAGGAAGCTCAAGTAGCACAAGGTCAATACAAGTATACCTCACCTGAAGGTCAAGTCATCGAGTTGTCTTACATTGCTGATGAAAATGGCTTCCAGCCTGTTGGTGCACATTTACCAACACCGCCTCCAATTCCAGCCGCCATTCAAAAAGCTCTTGACTACTTGGCTTCACTGCCATCTACCGAGTCGCCACAACGACGATAATTTAGGCAACCAAATTGACACATAACACAACATTTGTTGATGTCACACTTTTATCACACGTTTTCAATGAAATCCAGTCGATCATCACAACCTGTTTATAATCATGCCAAAAAATACATCGCACACGCATTATACTATAAATAAATTAAACTTAAATTTAAATTTGTCTCCAAGCAACTTTGATCATGTATAGTATCGTATATTTTTGTAACTATCTGTATGTAATTGAATCTAGTTGTAAATTCTCGTGTTACCGTCATTGTATCCTAAGAACGTTTATTCAAATAATTTTTTATGTTTTCGTTTGAATAAACGCTTTATGATTCAATAAATTAAAAATATTTTTTGATAAATTATCTGTACTTATAATATCTACCAGTATCCAAATGTAAAAACTTATTATTTTAATTTTATGTTAATAAAACTACTCAACAATATTTGACATTTTTTTCAATGCTCACAACTTACAGGATTTAATTTTTTATTGTTTGCTGATTTGATGTAAAATTAAATATCAGGACTATTAAAGTAGGTTTACGTTAAAATATGTGACGGGATAATAAATCAACGTGTTAGATGAAATTTGTGGGCATAAATTATGCAATTATGCAATTATTTTAAATGTTGAAATGCATATGCAAAATTACCTTTGTCCTATACCTTAAGCCAGAAGAAATTAACAGAATTCACAATTTTCAGTGAAAATTTAATAAAATAATTTATGAATACATTTTATGACATTGAATCAACGCAATAAAAATGTCGAAATCATCTAAATTTCATAAATAGTGTATCATCAGAATTTACACAACTGATGATCTTTAAAATTCTTACAAAATACAAAACTATTTGACGATTCCCGAATATAATGAATGGAATGGTCCATAATTTCACGGTGTTCTTGTTCTCATTCTCGTTGACATAACACGTTGACATAAGTAGTTGTTTAATTGATTGCCAAATCGCGTCTTCTATTCATTTATAACAAACAAATAAAATCTTTTTCAATTCATATATTCCATTATAAATACAAGTTTATTGCGGCTATTACACCAGACGCAATCTGGCAAAAAGTAAAAGAACGTCGGAGAGAAAACTTGCACCGGAGCGTAGAAATGCCGAAACAAAAAGGTTAATTAGACAACTAATGATATGATGATGCGACAATATTTAAATGTAAATGTTTTAACTGACCGCATCGAGATTTGTTACATAATTATTTGATTTATATCTTTTTCTGATAAATACTAAATGTTTCTTATAATTTCATCCAAGTAATATAAAAAATTATAATTTAATAATTTTGTTGTAACATTCAGTATAATTTATTGTAGCTTCAGGCAGTTTAAGTCTATTGTTTTTTTTTTGAATATAATATAACTCGCCCACTTTTTATGCATCTATTTTAATTTGAATGTGTAAAAATTAAATATTACACACCGATAAATTAAATAATCGGTTATTCATCACAGTTGGATGTCTTCTCGCACATCTTAAACAATTTAAACACACGATTAGATGGTGTTAAACAAGTTGGAACTATCGAAAATTTTGTGGCGTCTTCAAAGAGAGGGAGAGTCATCCAACAAGTCATATAAACTGACCCGACAAGCCTATCGATATCATTGACTTTACATTCGTTCAATTATAAACTCAAAGAAATTTCTACTAAAATGAAACTTTTCGTAAGTAAAAATTAAATAAATTTTTATTTCATATTATAATTAATATTTTAATTCTAGGTGTTTGCGTTATGTGTGTATTTGGTTGTTGCTGATGATATTCCTATTCTTCGGCAAGTAAGTGAAGTAAATCCTGATGGGTCATACAACTACGCTTATGAAACCGGAAATGGTATCTCTGCTGAAGAACAAGGTTTCTTGAAGAATGCAGGACAGCCGGAGCAAGAAGCGCAAGTGATGCAAGGACAATATCAATACCAAAGTCCGGAAGGTGAGACAATTCGAGTGGTGTACATCGCTGACGAGACTGGCTTCCATCCACAAGGAGAGCATTTGCCGACTCCACCACCTATTCCTGCTGCTATTCAAAGGGCTTTGGATTATATCGCTGCAAACCCCAGTCGTGAGAACAATAAATAAATGCAATGAAAGTAAAGCAATAGCACCAGATTTTTAACTTCCAAATAATAATAATAATTGTTTGTCCTTTTGTTTTGTCTAGTCTAATTTAAATAAATCAATAATTACATCAAAATGTTAATTATTTATTTAATAAATAAAATGTTTTTTTTTAAGTATAAATTTGTTTATAATGGTCGAGTTTATAAAAATGCAAATTGGATAGTGATCGGCGTTGATTACAAATATTAATTTATGACATCGATTACAATGTTACAATATTTACGATGCGTGAGCTCGTGCCTATCGATGACCCAGTGATATTTTGGCAGAATTTTAAATTAGCGTAGGATTAATTTATTTTATTTTCAATTTTGGGAAAATAGAAAGACACTTACACAAAATATAGGTACCAGTTATAAGATATAAATAGCTGTTGCTAAGCGTTGTAGGCAACTTTAAAAGCTTTTTAGTGTGAATGTGAGTATATTAAGCAGAGACTGGAGGAAGTTGGGTATGCAAACATAAAACACTGGCTTCTGATCAGGGATTTGAGTTAAAAATGAGCCAAAGATAAAGAATATAAAGATATTGTCACCAAAAATATAATTTGGCAAAAAAAGAACAAAGAAACAAACGTTTGCAATTAATTCTGGTGTTGCCGAGAAAGTTAGGTAGCAGATATGCCTATATTTTTGTCTCTAATTACACATAAATCATGCATACAGAATAAATAGTAGGTGTAAAATTATTACATTTTTAATGACGACTGAAATAAGATAATTTAATTCATCATGGACACAGATTACGCCATTTAGCAGAATTCCACGCTAGGCGCACTACACAAGCAAGCAAGTCACGCGTTCGATAAAAACAAGTTTTGTTAGATAGAAGAGAGAAGATAGTGCTTGGATATACAAATTCAATTCAATATATACATAAATACAAATATAATTCAAAGATGGCACTCCAGTGCACTTTTATACGATAAATTCGTATTGTTTGGGTGACTAAGGCTGGTTTTTTGTGAGTATTGTGCATTGACTTGAGTGGTGAGATTTGCGTCGCGTGATCGCAACCAATGCGTGCGCTAAAATTTTATAGGTATACCTAAATCTATATTGCAATAAGGTTGATTATTCTACAAATCGTACCAACTTACAAATTTTGAAACAACAATAGTTTTACGCGATATAGCAAGATTTAAGTAAGTCTCAAAAAAATAAAACTATTGCAAATCAAAACAAATGTTTGGTTTTATTCAACATCAGGTTTACCGAGCATTTTTATTGATTTTCCGTAGTGTTACAGTATATTGTTTAACGAGCTATAAGTATTGAATAATACTGAACGATATCCATTGCAGAATTATTTTTAATTACGTTTAAACTGTATAAATTACAAAGAAAATTAAATAATAATAATAATAAAGAGATGAAATAATTTTTCAATTTTTTACATATTTATTAGTAAGTAGGTACTTTATTACATTCTATTATCAACTTTGTTGTATCATTTGTTTGGCTTAATTTAAAAAGTAATCATTTAGAATCGTCGGTTAGCCTGCTGTTCCTGAGGTGGATGAGATGCGATCCAGTCCAACGCTCTTTGAATAGCTGCCGGAATTGGTGGTGGAGTAGGCAAATCACCTTGTGGTTGATATCCATTCTCATCAGCAATGTACGAGATCTGGATGGGTTGTCCTTCCGGAGAAGTCCACGCGAATGATCCCTGTGCGGTTTTTGCAACTTGCTCCGGTCCTAACTGCTGTACCTGAGCTTGCTCTTGTGCTTGAATACCATTATCTGTTTCGTAACTGCAAACCACCACATAATAATTATAATTAAATACCATTTATCAAAATGCTTAAATTAACTAACATTTACGTTTAAAAAAATCAATAATTTTATTAATTTGCAAAGTTTTAGAATGTTGAATAGATTATTATGTTGCAACAATATTTCTTGTTAAACAAATGTGTGAAAGTCGCGAAATGTCAACGCTTAACGCATTGCGTACGCTGTGTGCGCTGCTGGACTCTTATTAATAATAAACTAACTAAATAATAAGAAAAATAATAAAAAAAATTATACGTACGACCAGGAATAACTGCCATCAGGTTGAATATCAGATTCGGCGCGAAGAATTTGAGCATTTGCTTCAGCACCAGAACTTCTTGATCCGTAAGATGCTGATGGAGCTGATGGACCCACAAGGGTATTACCAGGACGTGGGAAAAGATGTGACACATCAGCGGCAACCATCCCAACAATAGCCAGAGAAATAACCTAAAAATTTATTTAAAAAATTAAATTAGGTTAAATATCACATAAAAACATTAATAATTAAATATAATAATTATATTTTTATTGCTTACCAATTTAAACATTTTATCGTTTGTAAATTAAATCACACGGATTAAAATCTCTTAAAAATCTGAGATTAGTTCTGATATCAAGATGAACTTGTGATCTGTTGTGTTTGTCCCGACGCATCTTCTAATATTTATACCCCACCAGAAGGAATACACCACAGAAACATACAGCAGGTTCCAATAAATAAAATTAATTGATTTCTAGCACGCCGTCGCAGTTGTTCTACGCTTCTTTGCTCTTTCACTCTCGATAGACTCTGGTTTTCTTTGCATAATTTTATCACCTTTGATCACCTGTGATCACATTATGTAGCGCAACACTCTCGACATTGAATTTATAACAAGACATTAGAATTGACCAACAGGCACCTTAAAAAATTCTAATTTATTTAGATGAACCGAAGATGACCAAATTGAAAACGAAATTAAATCATGTCATAATTTTGTATAGAAACGAATGTAAAGTTTGATGATTTGTCACGCTAAGGAAGTCACAAGGACGATTTTTATGTACTATTAATATCAAAATAATAAATTTTAGCAAACAACATGATTTTTAAGATGAAACAAAAAGGTTTCATCCTTTAATTAATTTATGCACATACTAATTGATAATTAAACATTTTAGTACAATACACGTACATAAATTGTTGATATTTTTTCTTTGTAAGTTATAATTTTGGTTTATTTTTAATTACTAGCTTCATTATGTTTGATGGGTGATTATTATATTTGTGAATTGTTGACGACATTTGGTAAAGATCAACCACTAAACACTGATGATCTTCAGAGCTATGTTTGATGTTCGTCAGTTGGAAACAAGTATGAGTTTGTACTGTTTGCATAGAAACTGACAACGTTGTTATGTTGTTAAAGTTCTTTACAATCCTAACTTTTTGTGCAATTCATTACTTTATATTACAAAATCTCGTCAGGTTTCCTTTGAAGATCTGCGAAGGCATTGCTTAATGATTGGGCATTGAGTGAATGTCAATTTATTCATATTATTAGGATTTTTCTGTTGACAACTGTGACATAAACTACAACAATGTAATTTAAGAATATTACTTATGTTGTAAAATAAATTTTGAGTTTTGAAATTTTACTTTAGTTTATCAAAAAATAAAGTATTAATGTGTTTAATATTGTTTTGATAAATTTTACACTTTTATTTTCACTCAGAATAAAAATTATGTGTGTGGTATTCAAAACGTAAAACAAAAATCGAGTCTGACCCGAGTTTGGTCATTTGATTAATGTGCGTCTTCGGTATCGAATGACACAATTCTTTTAATTAAATATTTATGATATTGAATTACGAAAAGAATAAAAATTTTATCCTTGAACAAAAGAAATTGATTTCAAAATACACTTACAAAACTAAATAAATATCTTAAGAGTAATTTAATAAATTGAAAAGATAAACGAAGATAAAAAATACGGAAGTGATGTTGAAGAATGCGCCACAAAAAGAAGATGGCATTTAAATTATATGTTTTTGAAATGTTTAATTAACTGATTATAGATTATGAAATATTTATGCATACAGATCGTTTGAATATGAACCTTGTTTGGTAATGCACCAATAAATACATTAATAAATAAGTCCAAGAAGAAGCTAGACCATTTATAGATTTATTTTGCTTCAGGCATTATTGTTATTCACAGTGGCGTAGCTAGAATATATCAAGAACGCTTTGGGTGCCGTGAGTGCCCTCTAACGGTGAAAATGTTGTAATTAAGTAAACGTATGTATGGCATTTGCTTCTATGTTTTAGATATGTGAACTGAATTAAATATTGCAAAAAATGCAAACTTCAGCGGATTTTTTTTTGTTTTTTACACATTTAACTACAAGAAAAAATTGTGGCAAATTGCTGACGAGTCTTTCAGTTATGGGCACATACGACTATGTTCAGTAATGTTCAAATTTACAACTGAAACTTTTAATGTCATTTTTGCCACTGTAAACTATAATACATATTATAAAAGTTATCCAAAGCGATAGAAAGTCCAATATATGTAGCTACGCCACTGGTTATAAATGATTTTACACATTTTTAAACTATATACACTGAAGAACCTTGACAGAAAGCCTACAAGCACTAAGAAGCACTTATTTAGTAATTGCTTTTGCATTGCTCAACATAGCTTCAAGAAGAACAAGCTACCAGATATGCTCAATTAACATCGCATCGTCATTATTCAGATAATTAATGATGCGTGATATTTAAAGACTTCAATTTTCAATATCAATGTCAGATTTTTATCTTTCCATCCATTGCGTATTGATAGAATCTATTGGTAAAAATGTTAATTAAATGTGTTGATTGACATAATACGTTGTTTCCTAAACTTCTAGAAACATTTGAAATTTTTAAAATTTTGTGATTTTGTGCTAAACACTGAATTCTCTACATTTTATTATCGAATGACTATCAACGAAAATGTTAGGTATTCTCATCAAACAAGCTTCACCATTACAATCTGCATACTAAGCAATCATTAATCATCGGCACATACACCAACTAGTATTAACATTTTTTTATAATCGAGGTTGTTGAACCGCTCATATCATCTTCACATTCTACTAGTTTTAATCACAGCATCTATTGATTTTCTTGACATTCTTGTTGAGTAGATGTAAACCTAAATGCAATTCTTATTGAAACTCTTCCACAATCGATTGTTTAGTAATGTCAATAAAGTGCATCAAACTACGTTCACTTTTATGTAAGAAGCTGTCAAATGTCAAAAATAAAGCTACTTTAATAAATAAAATTTGATACTTTGTATTAAATTACGTTTTCATAAAAAAAAATTTTTAATCTTTTATTTCATTGACTAATTAATTTTAATATATTTGTTAACATTGAGATGTTATCCTAGAATCCAAATTAAACAATACACGTGCTTTAGTTTATTGTTATAGTATTATTAGATTTTAAAGTTCATCCCATAGAAAAATATGTAAATCGCGATATTTATCAATTTATTATTCAAAATTTTCCCTAAAAATGTTTTTTGATTTTGGCCATTTTAATGACCCGTCACGCCAGGATATGTTTAACTTAGTAGGAGGCGGTTCCAGCTGAGCATCCTCGACTCATCTAGATGAACCTTACCAACTTATGCTTAATACAAAATTTAATATTCAGTGATGCCCAACATATTTACATAAATCTATAATACATACGATTATAATTGCTTGAGGGTTTAGCGAAAAAAATGTTTGAGAACTACAGAGTGTCCATCTGTTTAACATAAAAGCCGGATTCCTTTTTGAGTAGATATCAAGTTTAAAGTTGGCATTATTCAGAATGTGTATTGTAAATCAATTAAAATTTGTCAACTGAGGTGCTTTGGTATAACGACCACTAAAAGGAAGACCAATGAGAATTGAATAAAAGTAATAATGGCCATTTTCGGGATTCATATATAAAGGAAGTTTGGCTCATCGTTTCATTGTGATTTGATTTCTTCATTCTACAAGTCAACGCAGGTTGTGATAAGTATGAAGGTAGGTTTGGTATAAAATAATGTTTTTGGAGATTATTTTAACTGTGATTTTTAGTGTTTGATTGTGCTCGCGGCCATTTTGGGCTTGACTTGCAGTCAATTCCTCGGGGCTCTTCGCCCGGGTGGTAGTTTTGGAGGTTTTCAACCTCCACACAAAGCCGTTTTTGTCTACAAGCCTGACAACTCCGGTGCATACCGTGGAGCTAATGACGGTAGATATACTCCTGATAATTCCGGTGCTTACAATAACAATGACGGTAAGTACCATCCCGATAATGCTGGTGCCTACGTACACAATGACGACAAGTACAAACACCAAGACGATAAGTACAAACATCAAGCTGATAAATTTGGAAATGGTGGTAATAACAATGGCGGAAATGGCGGATTTGGAAATGGCGGTAATGGCGGACAGTACAATGGCGGTTCTGGTACTGGTTTTGGTACTGGTTCCAATGTCAATGCCGGTTCGGGAGCAAACGGAGGTTCTACTATTTTGAGTGCTGGTGATGTTTATGGTAAGCCGCAAAACCCAGGCAAGCAGCCACATCCTAACAAACCAGGAAAGTTACCGGGCAAACCAAACATCCCTGGAAAAGTACCTGGACAGTCTGGACACTTTTCTAACAATGGTAATCAATTTGCTTCTGGGAATGGTTTTGGTGACAAATACGAAAATAACCAATATAGAATCTTGAAAAAGGTTGAAAAAGTCGAGCAAGATGGATACCACTACTTGTATGAAACTGAAAATGGTATTGAAGCTGAAGAGCAAGGCAAACTCGCTAATGTTGGTACAGATGATGAAGGTATGCGCGCCCACGGATTCTACACTTACACTGGCCCAGATAATGTTGTTTATACTGTGAGGTACACTGCTGATGAAAATGGTTTTGTACCGGAAGGTGCACATATCCCAACACCACCACCAATCCCAGCCGCCATCTTGAGAGCGTTGGAATATCAAAGAGCTGCTGGAACATTGTAAACTGAAACTAAAATTGTAAAGCATATTTGTGACTACTTGTGACTATAATTAATAAAGATACTACTAGATATAATGCCAAGAATAGTTTATTTTAAATATAAATAAATATATACAATCTGTACATTTCAACTGGTTGTTTTTTTCTTCTTCTAAAGTTAGTAGTATTTGTTGTAGTGATGATGATCATGATCAGCATGTCCGGAATAAGTCACTTCAGCATTGAAACCATTGTGTTCATCAGCTGTGTAGTGAACAATGCGAGTACGTCCATCGGGTTGCACAACCTTGTAATGGCCCTTGACAACATCTCCATCACGATGCTCTTCCTGAGATTTCATGTCGTGGGTATGAGCATCTTCAACGCCATATTTGAAAGCGTATTTGGGATGATGGTACTTCTCATGATGGTCATCATGAGCATTGTAGTCGTGATGATCATAGTGATTATCATGGTGGTAGTCGTGATGATCATAATGGTTGTCATGTTTATGATATACATGCTCTACATGATTCTTATAGCCGTTATTTTGGTGATGATAATCATGTAAATCGTAGTCGTTGTGATGATTGTAATGGCCGCCATGATGGTCGTCGTGATGTTGGCTTACGGATGCATATGAAGTTGCATAAGGTAAAGCCACAGAACAACCAATAACGGCTGCTACAACCAAGATCTGAAAATTGAAGATAATAATTAATTTAAATACAGTTATTGTATTGCATTTAACTTACTTTAGAAATCATTTTATTATTGTTTTTGTATTTTAGTTGTTGTTACTATGAAGTAGATAGTTCGACTGTGCTTGGAAACAAAGTCGATTGTCTTTTATACTTGGAAAAATGCACTAGAAATGTAACTTGAAACTAAAATTAAATAAAATATTTGGTGTTAATTGCCAAATAATTTTTGAATGTTGTGAATCTATGGAGTAATCGTATTCTCAACGTAGCCTTGATTTAATAAATATATTTTACAAGTTTTACAATTATTTTTATTAATTCTTAATATTATATTTTTAATTAAGAGTAAATTTGTAAGTAATATTTTATTGTTGTAATATTTCTGCTATTGTTTACGTGGATAGACGTAAGCCTTAAGAAATTGGCACAGGAATTTTTAAACTGAATTACTAATTTATTGTTGTGTTGCATAAATGTGTTAATGTTCATATTTTGCGATTTTAAACATTTATTAAAAAATATTGTAACAGTCGTTTAAGAAATGGTAAAATTGTACTTTTTGAGTATTGATACACTGTTGAAATAACGGATATGATACCATTTAATGTCTTTAACAACATTTAATTAGCAATTGTAATACAATTCAGTGCAATTTGTTTATGTTTACTTTGGTATAAATATCAAGTTTGTTGATAGTAAAGGCACAGTTCAATTCAGTACATTGAAGAACAACAATCAACAAGCAAAATGTTCAAACAAGTAAATTAAATCGAAAAAAAAAAACTTTAAAACTTTTAACAAAATTATTTAATTTTCAGATTCTTCTCCTCAGCGCAATCGTCGCCGGTGTTTTAGCCAAACCATATGCAACTTCTTATGCATCCATGACTCAATACCATGATGATCACCATGTTGATCATCACTATGACCATCACGATTACGACGAGCATCATGATGACATCCATGAAGTAGATCACTACCCTCTTTATGCACCAGTATATTCAAGTTACAACAACCACGATGAACACTATGATCATCATGATGACCACCATGAATACTATCATCATCCACAATATGCATTCAAGTATGGCGTTGAAGACTACCACACTCATGACATTAAATCTCAGGAGGAACATCGTGATGGTGATGTAGTCAAAGGTCATTACAAGTTGGTTCAACCCGATGGTCGTATCCGCGTTGTTCACTACACCGCTGATAAACACAATGGTTTCAACGCAGACGTGCAATATTTGGGACATGCGGAACACCCTACTTACCACAAATACTACTAGAACTGAAATATGAATGTAAAAAATTAGGCCTCATTTGATCTTTTGAAGAATATTTATTTATTAAATGCAAAATTCACTATTTTGAAATATATACAATAAGCCATATTAATTTTGTTTTCCTTACAATTACCGTACATTAAACTAATTTCAAATACATTTCTAGTCAATATATAAGTCAGCTAACTCTTCCAACATTGATAGGTAGGTGTATACTTGATGTTCGTAATTTCTGTTCGCCGATGGTGGAGGTGTCTCGCTCTTCGGTGGCGCAAATTCACAGTCGATTTGATGTTTCTGTATATCAAACCCATATTGTTCTTCTTGGCATCCGCTCTCACGGTATTTGCATGGAAATTTGATCTTGTTGTGAAGTCGTTCCAGGACCAGCGGTCTGCATTCGGTGTTGAACTTTTGGCGGCAAGTTGGACAGCTTCCCAATTTCTTGTAGCACTCGTTGCACACACTGTGTCCTTCGATGCATTGAATGATTGGTGGGTGCATGTATTCTGTGCATACAACACACTCGAAGTCAGCAAGGATTTTGTCGTTCAAGTCTTTCAAAGCTTCCATTGTTGATTTATGGCAAGGTGTAGATGACGTTTGATGCTTTATCTGGTTTGAACAGATATGATGAATTTCGAGATAAGATTGCGTAATTTATGTGGGTGGTGCGGAGGTTTTATGTGGGGGTAAAAGGAGTGGGGGTAGTGACTTTAAACCTGTGTAATATTAGATTAGAGACAAACCGGTGCAGGTAATAAAGGTAATTAAGGTGTGCCGGTACGGGCACTCCCTTAATCCGATTAGATTTAGGTATGTATTGATACACTTTGTGTGAGAATCTTAACGCGAATTAAGGCTTAATGTTTATTTTTGTTTTGTAATGAAAGTAATATTTTTGTCTATTCAATGTTAATCTTTATTCTCAGAATATTTAATATAAGTAATTCAAATAAACACAACAATAGTAGAATTTGTTTTCTTATGAATAAAACGGAAATATTAAACACTCAATAACACGAATGACGCATTTGCTTACTGGTAAAGTGTTTGCCTTATTCTGGTTTTCAACGCCAAATAAAATCACATATTTCACATAGTATCACACATGGTATTTCACATACCAAAAACCTACTAATTTAATACTGACTTAAAATTGGCTGTACGATGTTTTCGAACCTGTTATTAATTAAATTAATGACTGAGATTTATAGTGAGATATGCCAGATTAACTTTGTTTATTACAGTAATTATAATTTTTAACCAACTAAAATTTAATTTGCATCAACAAGTATCTTCTCCTCCCAGCGTTTAGCACTACACAAATGTTTCGTCTGGATTATACGAGTAGTCAGTAGCTTATTATTTGTCTCACGGTTTAAATCATGTATTACCTGCTCCTGTTTTGTGTGGTTTCATGTTTGTACAATGGGATTATATGTTCTTCGAATTTCGATCCTAATAAATGGAGAAATGCAAGTGAGTTTACTACTATTTATATTTAATCTGTGTTATAATATTCCACGTATTATTAGAGACGTGTAAATTGAAGAGTGGCGTCGAAGGTCGTTGCGTCGGATTTGAGTTTTGTCCAGAATTGCGAGAACAAGGTGATGATCCATTATGTGGTACTCAGGAATCTCCGGGTTATTGTTGTGAATCTACCTCACAGGATTTTAAAGAGATTAGTTATGGAAGAGTAGCTAAACAAGGTGAATTAAAGTCAATTAAAAATTATATCAAGTTAACAACTTTTTTGTAGCATGTAATACGTATATGAATAATATTGATTGGAAATTACATGGATATGTTCTTGGAGGTACAAATGCACGAGACAAAGAATTCACATTTATGGTTAGTTATTCGTAATATTCACTTATTTTTAATATGAGATAGGTTAATTCAATAAAAACCAAATCAATATAATGTATTTTAGGCTGCTTTAGGGTACGGAGCAAATGTAAGCGATATAAAATTCCAATGTGGTGGATCACTTATAAGTGACAGACATGTTTTGACAGCCGCTCATTGCCTATATTCACTCCAAGAGTAATAAATTATATTATAATATACATCAACTACATTTTTCATATAAATATATTCTAGTGGTCCAGTTCGATATGTACTCCTCGGCGATCTTGATATCAACAGTACTACAGATATAGCCGAACCACAGTACCATTATATCCAGAATGTAACAGTACACCCGCAGTATAAAACTTCAAGTACTTACCATGATATCGCCATCTTGCATCTTTTCCGACCAGCCAACTTCACCCCATACGTTCAACCTGCTTGTTTGGATTATGGACAGTTATCTTCCGAAGTAAATCTAACAAAGTTTTATGCTACAGGCTGGGGATTTATTGACACTGAAGGAAACAGAGCAAGTCATATGCAGGAAGTAGGACTTGTTCAGTATGATTTTGACAGATGCAGTAAAGCATATCCTATGAATCGAAGAAAATTAGCTATGGGATTAGTAGATTCTCAGATGTGTGCAGGAGCAAAATATACGGAAAAGAAAGATACTTGCCAAGTAATAAAAACACAAAAAAAAAGTTTTTAATAATTGTTATATTGATTTATTGTTTCAGGGCGATTCTGGTGGACCTTTATCAAGAACCAACGATGATATTAGGTATAATCGTTATAAGGGTTATATTGTATCTGGAGTTACATCATTTGGTAAACTGTGTGGATATACCAAAGCACCTGGAGTCTATACAAGAGTAGAAAAATACATTCCTTGGATTGAGTCTGTGGTGTGGCCAGATGAAGTCGCAGCTATGCAAGAATCTTTACAAGTTGTTCCACAAATTCAACAACAAGATGGCTCTACTTCCAGCACTACTAAACCAACAGAATTAAATTCCAATGATGATAAAGCGGTACCAGATAGAACTAATCATCATGTTGTGATCAAATTAAATTCGACAACTCCGGAGTCTTCTGTTGCGGTAACCGTGAGCATCCATACGAATTCAACCAGAAAACCTATCAATTTAATTGATGTTCATTATTTTTCTGATAAAAAGTAAAAGAAACAATTGAATGAATCAATTTGTTATGAATTTCTGCATGTTTCGATATACGTACACGGCATAATAAATAGAGCATAACTTGTAACCTTGAATTACATTTTTGCCATGTTTGCAGTTTAATTTAAGCATTTTTAGTGTTTAATATTTCATAATTATTGACTGTAACTATGAAGAATTTTGTAACAATAAACTTGTCGGCGTCCTTATAGATTTTAACACTTTCAATTATTACTGGACACCAAATTAAATTTTAGGTGGTAGGCTACTACTATAAAAGCAAAATTATTTTTAGTCATATCATTCACAATTCATAGTGATCAAGAATAACAAACTATTATCCAACACAAAATGTTTACTAAGGTATGTTAATAGCAGGAAAAAGTTACACCCATAATTAATTTTAAATTAATTTAATTTATAGGTTTGTATTTTCGCCGCCATTGTTGCTTGTGCGTTAGCATTACCGCACGCAACTTCTTATGCTTCGGTAACTCAACATCACGACAATCACCATGGTTATTATGAGCCACATTATGCTTCATCATATTCTGGATATGGCAATGGATATGGCCTAGGCCTTGGTGATGTTTATGGTGGAGACGATGGACACTATGCTAAGTATTATCATCATGATGACCACGAGGACTATCATCATCATCCGGAATACGTTTTCAAATATGGTGTTGAAGATCCTCATACACATGATATCAAATCTCAAGAAGAACATCGTGATGGCGATGTTGTCAAGGGACATTACAAGCTGGTTCAGCCTGATGGTCGTATTCGCATTGTGCACTACACCGCTGATGACCACAATGGTTTCAATGCTGATGTGCAATATTCTGGACATGCCGAACATCCAACTTATTATAAATATTATTAATTGATATTCAGTGATATATTATGTATTTATCTGTATAAAGCTGGTTGTGACAAAACGCGAAAGTTCTAGGCCTTATAAATATATTTATTTTTGAAATGGAAACATGTTTCTTTGTTTTTCTTGAGTAATCAAATTAATTAAAGTTGAGAATAGGAAAAAACAGCTATGATTTTAGTAATATGTAATTTGGAGGAGGACACAGCAAATGCCACCAACACTGCAACAAATTCTGATAATCAAGATGGGGAATCAGGTCGAACTGTAATTCTTCAACTGATGAAACTGAATTCATTCTGTAAATTAAAATATATTATGAATATATTTTACCAATGTTAATCATATTAAAACATTCCAAAATTAAATTCATATCATATCATATTGTAAAATGTTTGCTCCTCGACTCTTTCTCTTTGCATGCTTTAAAATTTAAAAACTTGGTAGTCTTTAAACGAAGTCAGCTGTTTAGTTGTCATAGTCGTTGTACTCGTCTCGTACCTGTATAATTTATAACCTGTAAAAGTCAATTTTAGTTATTGTGTTTGTTGTGGGTAAAACTTGGTGTTGTTTAATTATTTATTTAGCTGTGATGATTAAAGTAGACGATATTGATATTCAGCCGATTAAACCACCAAATGTACCACCGGAGATTCGAGAAGTGGCTGCTACTACCTCTGCAAACTTATTGCCAGATCAATCCAAGAAACTCTATTTAGTAGCATATGATGCTTTTAAAAGGTGGCAAATTGAAAACAATGCTTCACAAGCATCAGAGTCTGTATTACTAATATATTTTACTGAACTGGCATCTAAACACAAGCCATCATCACTTTGGTCATACTATTCAATGTTAAAAAGTACTTTAAACATTCAAGAGAATGTGAAAATTGACCAGTATCCAAATCTAATTGCATATTTAAAACAGCAATCAAAAGGATTCACTCCTAAAAAAGTAAATACCTTCACCACAGAACAAATAAAGAAATTCCTAAGTACAGCACCAGATCTTAAATATCTTCCAACAAAAGTAAGTTTTAAACAATGCTTTAAAAGCATTAAATAAGTGAGTATATTTTTAGGTTGCTTTAATAATGGGAGTCATGGGGGCATGTCGATCCAATGAACTCTATAATATGAAATTGAGTGATATTGAAGATGTAGGTTCACAAATGATTGTTAGTGTTCCAAATGCAAAAACGAGGAGACCTAGGCAGTTTACTCTTAAAGACTCATTTTTTAATATCTGCAAGAAGTATATGAGTAATAGAACTGATTCTACTAATATAAGACTGTTTCATCAATACAAGAATATGAAGTTTACAAATAAAAGAATTGGTTTAAGTACATTTTCCAGAATGGGCAAAGATATTGCTTGTTTTCTCAATTTGCCCAATCCTGAAAAATACACTGGCCATAGCTTTCGAAGATCCTCAGCTACAATATTAGTAGATGCTGATGAAGAGGAGGATATAATCAGTTTACAAAAGCATGATTGGAAACCTTCTTCGGTAGCTGAGGACTATGGAGCTGATTGCAGTGACAGCCCTTTAAAACAAATAAATCATACAACAACAAAAATGAAAGATACTATTAATTATGAAGAGAGTAGTTCAGGTGAAGAAGAGCAATCTGATTTTACTCCAAATGAATCAAATGTGATTATTCCAGCTAGATTACCTGTAGTTTTTAATAATTGTTCTAATTTAACGATTAATATTAATAATAAATAGACGGGTTAGTATGGGAAATTGCTTCACTATTTTATGGCAAAATAAAAAATCCGTCCATCCCTTCAAACCCTCTAGAAGTGCCTGAAATGTACATTAAAATTTTGTATTTTCATACAATTGTAAAAATATGGTGTGGAAAACTCCCTGTATTTAGTAAAATCGTATATTTATTTAGAGGTTCTCATCGTTATAATGTAGTTCAAGAGTCATTTTACACTAAGCATACTTTTACAATCTTTAAAACCCTTTAGAAGTGCCTTACCTATTTGAATGCGCTAGTTTTCTACTAATTTGAAAACATGGTGTTGAAAATGCTTCATATCTAATGAATTAAATCACTTGTTTGAAATGGTTTTGCGGCATTATTGTAGTTCAAGAAACAATTTTTTCTATGCATGCTGAATTTGTCAATTTACTATATTAATTTTTGATGCAGTAATTAAATAATGTCGTTACAAACTTTGATTTGCATTTCACAAAAAATATAGTGTTGGTAAGGCGTGCAAATTTCAATTACAATATTTTGTAAGAAATTCTTGAAAGTCAAGTACAAACCAAGTGAATGTATACTACATACCATAGATACTTTAAAATAACTTATAGTGGTGGCAATCGAAAGAACTATAAAAGGATAAATAATGTGTTTGGTTTATCATTCACATTTCAAGTAGTGATATCATCATAAAGAACAACGCAAACATGTTTTTTAAGGTACTACCAATTTAAGTTTATTAGCATATTTACTAAATATCTTTCGTTTATCTAGGTTTTCGTTTTTGCAACAATTATTGGTTGCGGTATTGCTGTCCCACATGCCACATCTTATGCATCTGTTAAACAACATTATAACAATCACGACGATTATAATGATCATTACTATCCATATAATGCTGGTTTTGTAAATGGATATGGTATTGATAATAACGACGGTCTTTACAACGGTCACTATGCTGATTACTACGGGCATCATGATGACCACCATGACTACTACGCACACCCACAATATGCCTACAAATACGGTGTTGAAGATCCACACACTCACGACATCAAATCTCAAGAGGAACATCGTGATGGGGATGTAGTCAAAGGACATTACAAACTGGTCCAACCCGATGGTCGCATTCGCATTGTTCACTACACCGCTGATGACCATAATGGTTTCAATGCAGATGTACAATACTCTGGTCATGCCGAACACCCTACATACCATCACTATTATTAAACCAAGCTGTCATGTGATAATATAAAAAGAATGTAACTTATTTCTATATAAAAGCATTAGTATTCAATAAAATTATTCTATATCAACTGAAATAACGCATATATTAATTAATCAGGAATCAATATATATGGAAATACCTATTTCAACTATTAAAGATGTCAATTGGAGCTAACAATTTAAAATTGCCTCAAGATTCGACTCACCAAGTATTTTGGTGTGACACTTCTTCCATACGAACAACGAATAATTACCCTTGTATACTTGAAATACTGGAAGCATTTTGGAGGTACTATGCTCAAAGTAAATGAATTAATATAAGGAATTAATTTATCATTTGTATATTTGACATTCTGGTACATTAAATACTTTTGTTAAATTCTAGTTTTACTATGTTTTGACAATACTTAAATAAATACTTAATATTAATTAATAGATTCTCCTAATTTGAAAGTGCAATTCTGGTACTGGTTTCTCGCATCTTGGCACCTGCTTAATCTTGTTATACTCCTAATTCCATGCATTGTTATAATTGAATCATTATTAAACAAATATTTCTATTGGAAACGTACCAAACAATTAAAAGTTATGTTAATATTATAAGTTTTTCTCGTAATCATAGAAAATTGAAAATATTTAAATGAAACTTTTTCTGAAAAACTTGATTAAAATAGTTACTATTTTCCATAATTTTAAATACAAATGCCAAGTAAATATGCATTCATAATGAAATAATTAGTGCATAACGCCTGTACTAATTTTAGTAGCAAATATCTAGATGACCTTGAAGGATTAAAATAATTTTACACATTAATCTGCAATCGGCCATTCGAATAAACAATACACAGGAATTTAGTACAAAATCAATGCCCAATTACGACATCTGTACGTAATGTCCATTGCGGTTACTTGCAAAATTGCCTACGTAATGCGCTAAGACTATGTAGCAACAAATTCTTGAGAGTCAAGTACAAGTCCAGTGCACCCAATATAGATCGCAATAATTAATTTGCATTAAGTGGTGAGTTTACTTGGAGGTGGAAATTATAACAACTATAAAAGATTCAGAGAGTGCCCAATGATCATTCACCTGTCAAAACGTGAAACAATACTAATCAAAACCTAAAGATGTACTTTAAGGTAAAAAACTAAGTTTAATTATTCTTTGTTATCATAATATATAATATGTTTATTATAAATTATTTAGATTTGTGCTCTTGCTGCCCTTGTTGGCTGTGCCCTAGCTGCACCCCACGCCACTTCGTATGCTTCTGTAACCAAACACCATAATCATCATGGCGACTATCATCATGATTACTTACCACAGTATGGATCTGCGTACGCGGGTTATGGTTATGGATACGGAAACGGATATGGTTTGGGTTTAGGAGACGATTACAATGGATACTATGGTGGATACAACGGCGGATACTATGATCATCACGATGACCATTATGATGGCTACCATTATCCACAATATGCCTACAAATACGGTGTTGAGGATCCTCACACACACGACATCAAATCTCAAGAGGAACATCGTGATGGAGATGTTGTCAAGGGGCATTATAAGCTTGTTCAACCCGATGGTCGTACTCGCATTGTTCACTACACCGCTGATAAGCACAATGGATTCAATGCTGATGTTCAATATTTAGGCCACGCTGCTCATCCATCTTACTACAAATATTATTAACATGTGATTATATAAAGGCTTTAACGATATGATAAAAAACTAAAAAGATGTAATTTTATTAAATAAAAAAATGATATTTATGTAAAGAAAGTTTGTTGAGGTTTAATTAATTTGATTTAGAAATTTAAAACTAGTAAGGCTAAAAAATAAGAGGAGGAAGAAAAAAATTATATAAATTTAAGAGGCATTAATTTGTTAAATCAAATATATTTTCTCAATATTCAGCAGCAATGTTCCTGCTGAATAGGCAAAATCAGTTTTTCGGTGTGATACGGACGTTTCTCTTTTCTACTCTTGGCTACACTATACGCTAGTAAAGGTTTCAGCTGAAACACTATTTATAAAATGAACCACGAGATGGCGCTAAGGTTGCGCACCAAAGATACTTTACTAGTGTATACCAATGTTTGTATGTAAACATGTTTTTGTTGTTGCGTTGAACGATCTTATCACAAAAGCGATAGTGACCGCGTGGCTGAAGTCAGTTCAGTGCACACGCAGTTTCATTCCGGCTACAGAGTGAATCGCGCGTGAATCTACTTCGCGACTTGAGATTGTAATTCGTTAAATTGTGTTTTATTTAATTTGCTATTGTATTTACACGAATCGTGTGTGAACGAGATCTTGTTTGTGAGTGGTATCTCGAGGAATGTTCATCAATCGAGAAATATTTGTCGGCTCACCTATTGGTTAGTGAGGTTTTATTCATCTGTGGGGATTACCTATATTTTGCAACATTGGAATGTAAGTAAGTAAAATTATTTCGAAACTTATTGCTGACCACAATGATTGTGTTAGATGTGTTATCCCCGACGAGATATAATCATCATTACATTATAGTGTAAATCTTATGATACTTATGATAGTTCTTGGTCCATCAACCGTCGCTTACGTATCTTACTTAAAGAGAATTCTTGAAAAAAATACAATATCTAGGGGAAGGGGGGGAAAAGTGGGCCCCTGGGGGCAAAGTGGGCACCCTGAAATTCAGGTGGCTTAAAAAATTGAGGGGCAAAGTGGGCACCCTAAATATTTTGAAAAATAAGAGAGGAAAATAACTCACATCAACAAATTCGAAGTAAGAAATAAAAAAAAATATATATATAAGCAAAAATTGATACAAAGGTAATAGCAAAATTTTTATGGGTGGGGGCCCACTTTGCTCCATATTCTGAATTTTTTTTTATTTTGATAGAAACGGCTTATTAATATTGAATACTGAACAAGGATGTAAAAAATAGTGTAACGAGTGAAAAAAGGTAAACAAATTCCCTTTTTTCGCTTTTGATGAGACGTGAAAAATTTGATAAATTTGTTATTTTTCTTACGTATATTAAGAATTTGAAATCCATTCTTGTCGTTGCACCGACAAGTTGCCGTTGAACACCGTACGAGACAAGCGCCAAATGTGACTCGTGTTCCGAGCACCGTATAAACGAAGCGGTGGAAGTAACTCGATTCAGGGCACCGTATGAGGCTAGCGGTAGAAGTGACTCGCGTTCAAGGCACCGTATGAGGCTAGCGGTAGAAGTGACTCCCATTCAAGGCACCGTACAAGGGCAGCGGTAGAAGTGACTCGCGATCAGAGCACCGTATGAGGCTAGCGGTAGAAGTGACTCCCTTTCTGGACACCGTACGAAGGTAACGGTACAAGTGACTTGATTTAGGGCACCGTATGAGACTAGCGGTATAAGTGACTCAATTCAGAGCACCGCACAAGAGTAACAGTAGAAATGAGTCGTATTTATAAAATATAAATTGTTTTTGGACATTTTAGCCCAGGAAATTTAATTATTTTATATTTAAACCTGATAGAGATTTTTCCAAACTTTCTTAATCTTCAATCCGTTTGTCGCTAGCGCAATTCATTACATTATTATTTGTTACCAAAACTACTAAAAAAATATGACGCAGAACATAAGGTATACAGTAAACTACGAAGACAATTAATTATTTAGGACTTTGGCTTTGGGATGCCAATAAATTCTATTCTTTCGCCGAGAAATATTGAAAGTAAAAGTAGATTTCGTGTATGCTGGTTATTTCCACATTGTGAAATTTTAGTTTTGTCTTTTCAACTACGAGTTTTCTTGTACGACTGATGCGTGATATCGTTGCATACCGGCCTTGTATGAACACGTGAACATTTTTAATCGATTTGCACTCCTTATCATCATAAAATTAAGAAGTTTCTTGTTGACCTTCTTGTACGTTGAATAGTTTATCGTTTTCGCAGTCACAGTACATCTTAATATTTATAAAGAAATAGTTATTTTTATCGTTTTTATCGACTGTATTCCTATGCAGCGACAACGCAGTTTCGATCGCAGGTAAAGTGTCTATTGCAATTCGTGTACAAGGTCGCGTGCCATCGACAAGCCGGCTTTGCGCATCTATTACTTTTGCCTGAGGGGTTCAGGCGCGACGTTGCTTGCTCGGCTGCGGCATACGCTATCAGTGGACTGCAGCCAGTATTGTGCTGGTCGTTGGATGGTCCACGTGTATTTCGTGCGACTTTTATCGTTTAATCGACCTTCTCCTTTCTACATATGCATTATATTCGATCATCAATCGACTATTTAGTTGTAACTTGCATCTGCCGTGTTTGGTAGTGATTAATTGTGCGTTTCATGCCCAAATGTTGCGAATAACAAGTCACAGTTGGCGTGTGTTGGTCCCCGCGTATTTTAGGAATAAATAGTGTTGAGTTTACAAGTAGATTCAATTTTGAATGGACACTGCCTGGCGGTTAGCCATTTTTTCTCCGATGTGTGAAAATGAGCATAATATTAAATCTTATGAAATATTTAAAATTGTTTTCTTTTATTTACAGCGCTTGGGGAGTCTTGAGTGCCATGAGCTCTGTATTGGTAAGTTTAAAAATCAATTCTATTTCTTTTTCAAACTTGCGAATCGTACTTTTGTATGTTTTCTTTTATCGCGTTCCACATGCGTGTCGCCAAAATTTATTCTTTTGCATTTCATAAAATTTGCCGTTGAAAATGAATGCCGAACCCTTCAAAATATTTTAGTTATTTCTTCTTTATATGATGTAGTAAAAGTCCTTTTTCAAGATGCACCCTTGAAACCCCGCGAATTTCAGTCCTAATTGTCTCAAAATCGCCGCGAAAGTTTGCTCTTTTCTAGCATTTTTCAAAACTTACAATGGAAAACTGGTCATATTTCGCGAACACTTTGCAATTGTTTAGTTATTTCTTCTTTATGCGTTAAAGCAAAAGTCCTTTTTCAAGGTGCACCCTTGAAACCTCGCGAATTTCAGTCCGAACAGTCTCAAACTGGCCGCGAAAGTTTGTTCTTTCCTAGAATTTATCAAAATTTACGGTGGGAAACTGGTCATATCTCGCAAACCCTTTCCAATATCTTAGTTATTTCTTCTTTATGTGATAAAGCAAGAGTCCTTTTTCAAGATGCACCCTTGAAACCCCGCGAATTTCAGTCCTAACAGTCTCAAAATGGCCGCGAAAGTTTGCTCTTTTCTAGCATTTTTCAAAACTTACGGTGGAAAACAGGCTATATCTCGCGAACCCTTTGCAATATTTTAGTTATTTCTTCTTAACGTGATAAAGCAAGAGTCCTTCTTTAAGGTGCACCTTAGAAAACTCGCGAAATTCATTCATAACTGTCTCAAAATGTCCGCGAAAGTTTGCTCTTTTCTAGCATTTTTCAAAACTTACGGTGGAAAACTGGCCATATCTTGCGAAGTCTTTGCAATATTATAGGTATTTCTTGTCTATGAGATAAAGCAAGAGTCCCTTTTCAAGGTGCATCCTTGAAAACTCACGAAATTCAGTCCTAACTGCCTCAAAATGGCCGCGAAAGTTTGCTCTTTTCTAGCATTTTTCAAAACTTACGGTGGAAATCTGGCCATATCTCGCGAACCCTTTGCAATACTTTAGTTATTACTTCCTTACGTGATAAAGCAAGAGTCCTTTTTCAAGGTGCACCCTTGATAGTTTGCGAATTTCAGTCCTAAGGGTCCCAAAATGGCCGCGAAAGTTTGCTCTTTTCTAGCATTTTTCAAAACTTACAATGGAAAACTGGTCATATCTCGCGAACACTTTGCATTTGTTTAGTTATTTCTTCTTTATGCGTTAAAGCAAGAGTCCTTTTTCAAGGTGCACCCTTGAAACCTCGCGAATTTCAGTCCGAACAGTCTCAAACTGGCCGCGAAAGTTTGTTCTTTCCTAGAATTTATCAAAATTTACGGTGGGAAACTGGTCATATCTCGCAAACCCTTTCCAATATCTTAGTTATTTCTTCTTTATGTGATAAAGCAAGAGTCCTTTTTCAAGATGCATCCTTGAAAACTCACGAAATTCAGTCCTAACTGCCTCAAAATGGCCGCGAAAGTTTGCTCTTTTCTAGCATTTTTCAAAACTTACGGTGGAAATCTGGCCATATCTCGCGAACCCTTTGCAATACTTTAGTTATTACTTCCTTACGTGATAAAGCAAGAGTCCTTTTTCAAGGTGCACCCTTGATAGTTTGCGAATTTCAGTCCTAAGGGTCCCAAAATGGCCGCGAAAGTTTGCTCTTTTCTAGCATTTTTCAAAACTTACAATGGAAAACTGGTCATATCTCGCGAACACTTTGCATTTGTTTAGTTATTTCTTCTTTATGCGTTAAAGCAAGAGTCCTTTTTCAAGGTGCACCCTTGAAACCTCGCGAATTTCAGTCCGAACAGTCTCAAACTGGCCGCGAAAGTTTGTTCTTTCCTAGAATTTATCAAAATTTACGGTGGGAAACTGGTCATATCTCGCAAACCCTTTCCAATATCTTAGTAATTTCTTCTTTATGTGATAAAGCAAGAGTCCTTTTTCAAGATGCACCCTTGAAACCCCGCGAATTTCAGTCCTAACAGTCTCAAAATGGCCGCGAAAGTTTGCTCTTTTCTAGCATTTTTCAAAACTTACGGTGGAAAACAGGCTATATCTCGAGAACCCTTTGCAATATTTTAGTTATTTCTTCTTAACGTGATAAAGCAAGAGTCCTTCTTTAAGGTGCACCTTAGAAAACTCGCGAAATTCATTCATAACTGTCTCAAAATGTCCGCGAAAGTTTGCTCTTTTCTAGCATTTTTCAAAACTTACGGTGGAAAACTGGCCATATCTTGCGAAGTCTTTGCAATATTATAGGTATTTCTTGTCTATGAGATAAAGCAAGAGTCCCTTTTCAAGGTGCATCCTTGAAAACTCACGAAATTCAGTCCTAACTGCCTCAAAATGGCCGCGAAAATTTGCTCTTTTCTAGCATTTTTCAAAACTTACGGTGGAAATCTGGCCTTATCGCGCGAATCCTTTGCAATATTTTAGTTATTTCTTCTTTATGTGATAAAGCAAGAGTCCTTTTTCAAGGTGCATCCTTGTAAGCTGGCGAATTTCAGTCTTAAGGGTCTCAAAATGGCCGCGAAAGTTTGCTTTTTTCTAGCCTTTTTCAAAACTTACGGTGGAAAACTGGTCATATCTCGCGAACCCTTTGCACTATCTTAGTTATTTCTTCTTTATGTGATAAAGCAAGAGTCCTTTTTCAAGGTGCACCCTTGAAAACTCGCTAAATTCAGAACTAAGTGTCTAAAAATGGCCGCGGAAATTTGCTCTTTTCTAGCACTTTTCAAAACTTACGCTGGAAATCTGGCCATATCTCGCGAACCCTTCGCAATATTTTAGTTATTTCTTCTTTATATGATAGAACGAGAGTCCTTTTTCAAGATGCACCCTTGAAACCTCGCCAATTTCAGTCCAAACTGTCTCAAAATGGCAGCGAAAGTTTGATCTTTTCTAGCATTTTTCAAAACTTACGGTGGAAATCTGGCCATAACTCGCGAACCCTTTGCAATATTTTTGTTATTTCTTCCCTACGTGATAAAGCAAGAGTCCTTTTTCAAGGTGCACCTGTGAAAACTTGCGAAATTCAGTCTTAACTGCCACAAAATGCCCGCGAAAATTAGTTCTTTTCTAGCATTTTTCAAAACTTACGGTGGAAATCTGGCCATATCTCGCGAACCCTTTGCAATATTTTAGTTATTTCCGAACCCTTCAAAATATTTTAGTTATTTCTTCTTTATATGATGTAGTAAAAGTCCTTTTTCAAGATGCACCCTTGAAACCCCGCGAATTTCAGTCCTAATTGTCTCAAAATCGCCGCGAAAGTTTGCTCTTTTCTAGCATTTTTCAAAACTTACAATGGAAAACTGGTCATATCTCGCGAACACTTTGCAATTGTTTAGTTATTTCTTCTTTATGCGTTAAAGCAAAAGTCCTTTTTCAAGGTGCACCCTTGAAACCTCGCGAATTTCAGTCCGAACAGTCTCAAACTGGCCGCGAAAGTTTGTTCTTTCCTAGAATTTATCAAAATTTACGGTGGGAAACTGGTCATATCTCGCAAATCCTTTCCAATATCTTAGTTATTTCTTCTTTATGTGATAAAGCAAGAGTCCTTTTTCAAGATGCACCCTTGAAACCCCGCGAATTTCAGTCCTAACAGTCTCAAAATGGCCGCGAAAGTTTGCTCTTTTCTAGCATTTTTCAAAACTTACGGTGGAAATCTGGCCATATCTCGCGAACCCTTTGCAATACTTTAGTTATTACTTCCTTACGTGATAAAGCAAGAGTCCTTTTTCAAGGTGCACCCTTGATAGTTTGCGAATTTCAGTCCGAAGGGTCCCAAAATGGCCGCGAAAGTTTGCTCTTTTCTAGCATTTTTCAAAACTTACGGTGGAAAACTGGTCATATTTCGCGAACCCTTTGCAATATTTTTGTTATTTCTACTTTATGTGATAAGGAAAAAGTCCTTTTTCAAGGCGCCCTTGAAAACTCGCGAAATTCAGTCCTAACTGTCTCAAAATGGCCGCAAACGTTTGCTCTTTTCTAGCATTCTTCTAAACTTACGGTGGAAAACTGGTCATATTTCGCGAATCCTTTGCAATATTTTTGTTATTTATTTTTTATATGATGGCGCAAGAGTTGAAGATGCACATTTGAGCTCATGCAAAATTTGGTCTTAACTGTCTCAAAATAGTCGGGAATTTTTTGCATGTTTTAAAACTTGCTGTTGAAAATTTTGAGGAAATTTTTTATTTTTTATATTTTGTAATACTCGGAGTTAATGTCAATTTTATATACCACGCGTTTTTGGTACACTCGGTGAATGTAGTTTTGTCCGTATTTATTTTTCAACATCTTCGTGAACATAAACAACTGTTATCTTCAGCGAGTTTACACCGACAAGAGTTGCACTGATACATAGAAATTATTTAACATTTGCTGTATATTTATGCGTATTTGTATCCAATATATTAAAGATAATTGCTTTATTAAAAGTAGAAGGTAGATATCATATTTAACTTATCGTGATCGATATGTTTTGTCTCAGCCTTATTTTATAGAAACTAATGCGTAATGTTTTAACTCTCATTTCTTACAGTGAATATTTAAATTAGGGGCGGTGTTGTGATTATGCAATAAATTATTGATTTGTAATGGTAAATTAAATTCCTGATTTTCTCAATCCTATTACATCCCAAAGCCAATAAATTCTTTTCTTATGCCGAGAAATATTGAAAGTAAAAGTAGATTTCGTGTATGTCGGTTATTTCAACATTGTGAAGTTCTAGTTTTGTCTTTTCAACTGCGTGTTTATCAGTACGTTTGTGTATAAACAACTTTTTTGTTCGACAGACGCGTATTACCGCGACGGCAGTTATTTCACCGCGTTTTCTGCGAGCGTGTCTCTCAAATCGCGAAGTGTTTTGAGGTTTTAATTGGTTTAATCGTCGTGTATTCTTTCGGTCATCAGCTAAATATTTGCAACGGGCATGTGGGTGTTTTGTGTGATGATTTGTGGCGGTTAGAGTCTTCTTAAGTGCGAAATAAATATCCGTTAATCGATGCGCGAGGTTTAGAATATATTCCGGGATAAATAATCTAGGTGTCTAATTAATTTTTTCACGAAAAGTTAAGGCGGTTTCACTTAAATTGCTTATTAAATTTGAGGGATACTAATTTTCCTTGTATTATCTTGCAAATTACAAACACGTGGTTGCATTTTTATCAGAATTCCTAGTCCCGTTTCCGAAAATGACATGCATGATTTAATTATTACAAACACCGTTTTTAAAATTATGTGAGGATTATTAAAATGACATTATTCATGTGGTCGACCACGTTCACTTTGCCGTCGGCCGTCGGCTCGGTTATCTTTTCGCTGAATACGTGAACGATTTTAATCGAAGTGCAGTCGTTAGCATCTTCAAATTAAGAAATTTCTAGTTGACCTAATAAAATCATGAATAGTTTTTCGTTTTCGTAGTTATTATAATGTATGTGTTTTATTTTCGTAGCAGTTTTTGCTCAATTTCCACTTGATTTTCGGGTAAAATCTTGGATTTTATGTTAAAACATTGTTGTTTATTTGTAAATTTCTCGCTTCATGCCTTTGTAGGTTCTAAAATTTTCTTTTTACAACACCCTGTATATTAGTTTTTTTAACACTGCGTACAAAATCGCCTGTGTTTATTATTATTTGGTGCTCTCTGTTTTGAACTTGAGATTTTCTATCTGAAACACTCTGTATATTCTTTTTCCGTCCTTTGTGTGCGCGAAATTTTTGCTTAAACTGTTGATTTAAAGATTTTCCGCTTTGTACTTTGAATACTTTAGTGTTTACAGTTTTTTATTTGTACTTTTCTTTTATAACACCCTGTATATTTGTTTCCATTTTCAATCACCTAGAAAATTGGCTATTCACTAAGTTCATTATTCCGGTAGAACTTTATGAAGTAATACTTGTTGGCATGTGCGCGGCTATGCTAGCTATGCGGCTATGCAGGACTTACGCTGTTTCAATATGGCGGCACGTATTCTGTAGACTTGTAAAATATAAACTTGTATTCTATTGATAATAAATAAATAATAAGATATATTGACTTCTTTGATTTGTGTACCTCTTCTATCATTTCAGGAACAGGTCTCTAAGAGAGTTCCCTCTCTCAGGGGATGATCCCCACTATAAAAATTGTTAAGGTATCCTGTATGATTTGTGTACTCCTTCTCTCATTTCAGGTACAGGTCAGAACTGGTAAGAATATTTTTAAGTGTCCCCTCTCTTGAGGCGGCTTAAAACTTAGAAATATTTGAACAAGACCTTATAAGGATTGTCCTTATAAGGAGTTCCCTCTCTCTGGGGGTGATCCCCCACCATGAAAATTGTTGATATGCCTGAGTATTTCGGGGATGAAGCGCAGAGACATCGTAGCTGTAGGATGGGCCGGGAGCATTGGACACATCGAAGCAGTGGACTGTCTAACGACACGGGCCAAAAAATTTAAAAATCTGATTCTCCCCTGTTCTCTTTCTTCTATCTCCTCCTCTTCTCTACTCTACTCTCTGTTCTCTTCCCTCTCTCTTCTCCTATTCTCTACTACTCCTTCTTCTATTTCTCTGTTCCTCCACTTGCTATTTCTCATATTGCCTTCACTTGTATTTCAATTTCTCTTATATTTCTTGCAGTTGCATATATGCAACCCAAATATCGCCTGTTATTTTTATATTTGAGAAAAATGCCTTCCATACCTGAGATTCGATCCGTGCCTACTAACATGCCCGCAGGTGCACGTATCCACTCGACCACCGAGTGTTTTTATCATTGTTATTTGATTCTTCTATTTATGTTTCTACTTTACTCAACTTTTTAAAAACAACAACACAAGTTTTAGCTTTAGCTATGTTCCACTCGCTCCAAGCGCATAAGATTTATATGCAATATGACTTAAGACGTCAATACTGAAAACAACAAAGGGGCTACCACAAAAAAATAAGCATGAGATTATAATTTTACATTGTGTTTTATTGACAACAATAATAATAGATACGTTTCTTTAAATAGAAAAATATCGACAGCTAACAAATTCGAAAGTAGTAAAAACTTGCCTTAAAATACTCGCATCTCCAACACTTCATATATAGATATTGCAAACTTCATTCGTGCATTCACAAACTTCTTGTCTGGGCATCAAAGTTGTGCATTTGCTGGAATTAATTATACATCCAAGTTATTCTTATGTGCGAGACGATAACTGAATGCCGACGGACACGCGCGCACATGTGAACTGAGAATTAATCCACGATTGATAAACACAACAGCTTGCAATCACGCTTGTAAAACCCCGGTCACCCCCGATTCTGGTATATGCCGTCGATTGCTTAATGAATATAAATCAATTTACTTAATTATGATCTGAAGTAACAGGACACGCGCACCGCACTCGACGTCCGGAATTGAACTGCGTGTGCAGCAAAATGCATACAGCCAACTGCGACAACACGAGGTCACTATCAGTATTACGCGATATGTTCGCTGAACGCGACAAAAAATTGTTTGCATACAAGCCTCGCGCGTATAGATCTTTACTATGGATGCATAGAAGCAGCGCCTGTTTTGGTACTACTGGCGCACTAGGCAAAATTTCTACGGCGCCCAACTGAAAATCGAGTCAGGAAAACGTGCGAATTGCGAGAAATTTGAGAGTGATGTATGGGCACTTCCCGACCCTAGACGATGACTGAATATAGTTCATACCATTAAAGAACTCTTCCTCTATCACCTGAAGCGAACAGAATTAAAATCGTGCCAAGAAAACACAGGATACAGACCATTTTCCACAGCAACTTTTCAAAAAAGGACAAAAAGTGCTGAAGTTTGAAAGTGATTTAAGGGTACTTCCCGACTATTGAGGGTGACTGCATGTAGTTCATACCATTAAAGAACTCTTCTTCTATCACCTGAAGCAAACAAAATTAATATCCAGTCAAGGAAACGCGAGATACATACCATTTTCCAAAGCAACTTTTCAAATATGACAAAAATTGCTAAAGTTTGAGAGTGATTTAAGGGCACTTCTCGGTCCTTGAGGGTGACTGAATGCAATTCACATCATTAAAGAACTCTTCTTCTATTACCTGAAGCAAGCAGAATTAAAATCCAGTCAAGGAAACGCGAGATACAGACCATTTTCCACAGCAACTTTTCAAAAATGACAAAAATTGCTGAAGTTTGAGATCGATTTAAGGGTACTTCCCGACTATTGAGGGTGACTGCATGTAGTTCACACGATTAAAGGACTCTTCTTCTATCACCTGAAGCAAACAAAATTAAAATCCAGTCACGAAAACGCGAGATACAGACCATTTTCCATAGCAACTTTTCAAAAATGACAAAAAATGCTGAATGTAGAATGTAGTTCATACGATTAAAGGACTCTTCTTCTATCACCTGAAGCAAACAGAATTAAAATCCAGTTAAGGAAACGCGAGATACGGACTAATTTCCACCGCAACTTTTCAAAAATGACAAAAATTGCTGAAGTTTGAGAGTGATTTAAGGGCATATCCCGGCCCTTGAGGGTGACTGACTGCAGTTCATACCATTAAAGAACTCTTACTCTATCACCTAAAGCAAACAGAATTAAAATCCAGTCAAGGAAACGCGAGATACAGACCATTTACCACAGCAACTTTTTAAAAATTACCAAAATTGCTGAAGTTTGAGAGTGATTTAAGGGCTTCCCGACCCTTGAGGGTGACTGAATGTAGTTCATACGATTAAAGAACTCTTCTTCTATCACCTGAAGCAAACATAATTAAAATCCAGTCAAGCATACTCGAGATACAGACCATTTTCCATAGCAACTTTTCAAAAATGACAACAATTGCTGAAATTTGAGAGTGAATTAAGGGCATATCCCGACCCCTGAGGGTGAATGAATGCAGTTCATACCATTAAAGAACACTTCCTCTATCACCTGAAGCAAACAGAATTAAAATCGTGTCAAGGAAACGCGAGATACAGACCATTTACCACAGCAACTTTTTAAAAATTACCAAAATTGCTGAAGTTTGAGAGTGATTTAAGGGCATTTCCCGACCCTTGAAGGTGACTAAATGTAGTTCATACGATTAAAGAACTTTTCTTCTCTCACTTGAAGCAAACAGAATTAAAGTACAATACATGGTCGACGGATGCACGCGCGCCGCACAGAACCGTAAAGTAATCCCCGATTGATACACACAACCGTGTACAAACTCACTTGTAAAATACCGGTCACGCCCGTTTCCAGTATATGCCGTCGATTGCTTAACGAGTATATATCAATTTACTTAATTATGATCTGGAGGGACAGTACTAGTGGCGATGAAGACGCGCATCTCATTCGGTGGATGGAATTGAACTGCGTGTGCAGCGAACTGCACCCAGCCAACATCAACAACACGAGGTCACTATCAGTATTGCGCGATACGTTCGCTGAACGGGACAAAAAAATTGTTTACGTACAAGCATCGCGCGTATATAACTAAACTATGAATGCATAGCAGCGCCTGTTTTGGTACAACTAGCACATTAGGCAAAATTTCTACGGCCCCAATCGCAATCAAAAATTGCTGAAGTTTGAAAGGCCCAAATATGATAAAAATTACCATAAATAATTAAATCCATTTACGTGCATTTCTCGACACTTGATAGTATCCGAATGTCCAGTCAATTCTGTAACTTTTTTACCATAATCAGCTTAAATCATAATTAAAATCGAGTCAGGAATTGAAGATCAATTTAAGGACACTTCTGGGCACTTGTGAGTGTCTTAATGCAATCCATACTACGAGTATACTACTACTCGTATACTAGCAATCTGAAATAAACAGAATTAACCTTAAGTATAGGAATCGCCAGATACAAATCGTGTTTCATCAGAAACATTAACAAATTACAAAACTGCTTATTTTTCATAACAATCTTAGATTTTCTTAACCAATGACAAAAACCGACTGCCATCTTTCTTATAAAGCAAATATATAATCCAAAGTAAAAAAAATTAAATTTCTGCTATTATATTGCAATTTGTGCAGGTTGCAAACTGCATCAAAAACTCAAAAACAAACAATTTCACAAGAAAAGCGTGCGTATAACTACACTCTTCAAATTTTCGCACACTACTCCTGTACTACAATTAATTAATCCCCAAAATAAAACAAAGTATTAAATTGCAAAAATATATATGTATGTATATTATAAACATTTGACAGTAGGTAGGTCAATATACAAAAAATAAATAGCTATATCCATCTTGATCACAACATTATCATAGTTCCATTCATATCACTCAGTCAAATAAATCGATCTAGTAATGTTCGTGATGAGACGGATGATCGGCATGTCCCGAATAGGTGACATCAGCATTGAATCCATTGTGCTTATCAGCGGTGTAATGAACAATGCGAGTCCTGCCGTCGGGTTGAACCAGCTTGTAGTGTCCCTTGACAACATCGCCATCGCGGTGCTCTTCCTGGGACTTCATGTCATGCGTGTGGTGATCTTCAACGCCATATTTGAATTCATACTTGGGATGATGATCGTGATGCTCCTCATGGTGGTCATCGTGATGGTCATCGTGATGGTCATAATGAGCTACTTCAACGCTAGGTTCTTCGTAATGATGTTCCCAATCGTTTTCATGAGCTACATAGTGATGATCAACATGATTATCATAAGCATGATGATCATCATGGTCGTGGATATCGTAGTGGTGTTCATTATGGCCATCATGATGATTATCAAAGTGTTGGTTGACTGAGGCGTATGATGTACCATGGGGAGCACTCAGTGCACATCCCAAAATGGCGGACAAAACCACAATCTAAATAAGCAATAGAATATAAAATAAATGTTACCGTTAATTAATTTTTAACTTACTTTCGCAAGCATGTTTATTGCTGGAGTTGTTGTTGTTTGAAAGCACAAATGAATTGTGAATGATTTCTGGTCCTACAATTCCAGTTTATATACTCTAAAAGTGTAGCCAAAATGGCATATGGATGTGGCAGTTACGTTTATAATTAATTGTTATTAGTAAAAATATTGCTGCTGTCTCTTTCGTTACGTTACATAAAACAATATGAAATTGTACTTACCAAATATCAAAATTTGCTAGCAGTGTCCAAGTTCTATGTTAAAACATGCCATTTATAATGGCTTGAAACTATTTTTAACATGTAGAACAACTAAAACAGTAATTTAGTGCAATATATGAAAGTGATGGACAACATTTGGGCAATTTAGCAAAAATTGCAGCTTGTTACATTATTTTTAGCTCAAGTTTATTAATTTCGGCGAAATTTAATTAGCTTGTGTGTTGCATATATTATTTCTTAACTAAAAGATGTATATCAAATTTTAAACATTAATTAAACTTTACTTTAATATATAACTTAAGGTAATGAAGAAAATAATTATTTTTGAAACATTAATAAATTTTTCTTCTTTGTATTTCGAGCTTAGTTTGTGACAGATTACATTGGAACGTCGATGAATACAAATCAGAAACATTAACGACCTGAAATGCGTGTAATCGAATATTGAAAACCCCCAAACGAGTCAAAAGAAGAAAAAGACAAAAGACGTGCGACGCATTTGAAATCAGACAAATTGCAAAGGGGAGACAATGTTTTGCTTTGTAATGTGTTTTTCCGTGTAATTTTGCAAAATATTCAAATTTTACATCTTTACTTATTCATTTTCAAAAAAATAAATAAAAAGATAATAAAAACGTAATATTCTGTTTAATAAACAGCATTTGATGATAATTTGAAAGACCTATTATCATGATTATCAAAATTTAATTGTTATAGTTGTCATTTGCACTGTTCATGCAATGCGCACACTGTCCAGTTAAATTTAACGTCCGTCTAAGGATGTTGCAAACGACAAAGTGCGCCAACGTCGAACGATGCAAGCAATTAAACACTCCGCAATGTTCGGCCAACCATTATCTTCCCAGCACAGCAAGCTGGTTGTAGTTTTGCTTTATTCCCTTTACGCTCTCTGGACGCTAACATTTAGGGGCATTTAACACTGTTAACATGCAGTTAACACTGTGGGTTGTGCTGGACGTCGACACAGATTACCATCGTTTATTAGCGTTTAATAATGTTTACTGGTCAACTATAAACAATATCTAACACCAGCGACAACAGCTGTTAATTATTTTAGTGTTTAGTGCATCTGTAACACAATAAATCAAAATATTTAATTTTCATGTAATGCATCTTGGCTGTACACTCATAAAATAAAACTTTTCGTAAACATTTATTGGAAATCATCGGAAAGTTTTAGTTTGTAAATTATTTCAGTTTTATCCTATTGTGTTTGTATAGTTTGGAGTGAGATTAAAAATATTTATGCGCGTACATTAGATGAGACACAGACGATGCGCAAAATCTATGCAGAAAAAAATGCGCCAGTAATCCGCGAGCGGAGATTACGCTCAAATGCGAGACAGTGCATTGCATCGTATTGCATATTCGTATTATTCGCATTATTCGTCCCGAGCATATTCGAACATTTTAATAGCGGAACGCAGAGGAGCGGAGCGAAATCGTGGAATGGCTCATGGCAAAACGCGTTCGCGAATGATGCGAACTGCGAAGCAATCGCAATGAATCGTCGGCGCGCTCGACCCAGCGTTTATCGCGCGCCGCATCAATTCGACATATTTATGCATACGTCTAGTCTAAAACCTACAGCCCTCATCTTAAATATTCCTACATATGTGTTGTATTTAAACTTTAAGTATTTTCATTTATGCATGTCAAAGAAGATTTATTTTTATTTCGATTTAAATTGCACATAAAACTCATGTTTTTAACTTGAAATAAACTTTTGTCTAATTAAGTTAATTTATTGCATGTTACATTAACATTAGAATTTTCTAATATAAATGTACGAATATTCATAGTTTATTTGTGTTTGACTGGCGTCGACCGATCGCACGAAAAACAATTCAAACCGCGCCAGTCTGTTGTCTGCCACATAAATGGCAATATTGCTCTATTTTATAACCAAAAATATGGCGAGCAGTAGAGGAGTGGCGGCACGGCGCCGAGGGCAGCAAGGCTAGGGCGATTGATGCGCCGCGCCGCCGCCTCACACCCGCCGGCGGCATATGCTGATGCTAGAAAGCTCGTGGCTACACAACAAGCAAAATAACAACCCAATGCATCGCAGATCGCGGTACAACGGAATATGAGGACCCAAACTGCGGCGTATTAAGCCGTTCTTAGGGGGGCGGCTGTAGTAAAGCATTATTAACTTATGACAATAATTTAAAATTTTTATTTTAGTCTAAAAATATTAAGTATTCACATTTGAAAATATTATTATTAAACTTTTGTAAAACTTATACATTTAATAATTATCGTTAAACTTTTAATTGTTGTTCTGCAATTACCCATCTTCAAGTCTTCTAATCCGACATCATTCGGACGTTTTTCGGTATTTGCATTTTGGCACGCTTTGGTACTTTCGACGAAATTACTTCTTTGTTAATAACATCATTAGAAAACGCAATTCGACTTAATTGCTTAATTAACGGAATCATTACAACGTGCAAATGTAACTATTAAATTGTCACGTTAAAGTGTCTTACCATGTAGTTAAAAAAGAAATCAAGAAAGTACACTAAACGTAAGTTAGGTTGTCTAACTTAAAAGTTAAAATATAATAAGTTATAAATAAATGCATGACCAATCCTAACAATGATGCAGAATTAAAATAGAAAACAAACGGTTATTATTATTACATGATAGTGAAACTATATTTATCATTGACCTTGTGAAGGTTGCACGCGTATACAATGCATATTTACTTAATTAGAATATGAATAACTAATATGTTGCGTAAAACGAGTATTAAACAATGTTTAAAACATTGTTTTTCACACTTTATTACTCCATGGGCATTGATCCTGTATAGTTTTACGTAATGAACTTCTATCTAATTTGGCATTCTGCAGAATATCTTTAACTTCCGTCATTTTGTCATCGGATAAGTGAGGTGAACGTGCAAGAATCCACAAGAATTCTAAACAATACTATTTTGTATTAACTTATCAATTATTTTATAGGAACTTACGCATATTTGTAGAGAGTATGCCAGGTAAAATATCAGTACAGCTCCAGACAATAGCATAATTATCATAATCAGTCCCAATCACCCAGTAATTGCCTTCAGGACTTAATGGAAATCTAACCAGGAGTTTACCTTCATTTTTAGAAGAATCAACAAAACGTGCTACACCTTCTATGCTGCTATCAGCGTTAGCAATTAGTACAATTCCACTGTTAACAACTCTAATTCTATTCTCATCGATCAAAGAATAATTTGCTCGGACACAATCCATATTAAATTGGAAAATGGCTTCGTATCGTGCTTGTTCATACCAAATTCCAAGATACTATTCATCAATATAACATAAAATAAAATTTAAAATTGTTTGTAAATTTAGCATAACTTACTCTTGATGCATCAAAATCCTGCACAATTTTCACATCGTAGTTTTTACATTCTCCACTTGAAATTTGTTGACTATGCACTTGAACCAAAATCAAACAAGTTACAATCACTGTATATATGTTATTTATGTTCTTCATTATCTTTAAGTATATAGTTTAAGTTAGATACTTGACAACTGAATATTAATTGGCACTGCTCGTGTAATTTTATAGTCGGTGAAGTGCAGCTTGTTTTCCCAGTGGCGGCTCGTATACTCGTAGATGAGTGTTTTGTTTGCCGAGTGCGGATGAAAATATACACTAAAATGACTACGCGTGAAAGGTTGTCATAGTTCATCATTCATATTGTTGTATAACTAATAGCAGCCTTGTAACCGCACAATTCGTTTGCATCCTTTACGTTTAGGTCAAATATATTAATTAACTAATAGTACACTAATAATATAAATCAGTGTGTTAACCTATTTTAACTTTCTATTCTATTCATACAAAAATCATTCAATAGGTGATAATGTTATATTATTAAAATTATTATTTTACACTATAATACTCGTAGAAACATTGAATTGACTTAAACTAAATATTTTTAATCCATGGACATTGATCCTGAATAGTTTTTCGTAATTTGACCGCAGCTAACTTTGCATTTTCTAAAATATCGTCAACTTCCGCCATCTTGTCTTTTGGTAATTCAGGAGTACGTGAAAGAATCCACAAAAATTCTATTGTAATGAAAGAAATAATAAATAATAACGTGTTTTTGATGTTTTTTTCGTTTAAAACTTACGTATGTTGACTATTTGTAAATCAGTACAGCTCCAGACAACAGAATAATTATCATAATCTGTGCCAATCACCCAATAATCTGCAACTGGACTTGAAGGAAATTTAACTTCCAACTTGCCTTCGCTCAGCGATGGATCAGCGAAATTAGCAACACCTTCAATACTAACAACCTCACTAGTACTCAACATTATACCATTGTTAATAACAATTATGTTTTGTGCATCACGCAGTGAATAATTTGCAGTAACACAGTCTAAATTGTATTGGAAAGAGGTTTCATAACGAGCTTGTTCATACCAAACACCTAAATACTTTAAAGGAAAAAAATTACTGAGGAGTAATAATTCTAATGATGTTTAATTAATAACTTACTCTTGAAGCGTCAAAATTCTGTACAACTTGAACCGGATAATCACTACACGTTCCAAGAGATAATTCTTGACTTTGTACTTGCACCACAACCAAACAAGCAGTAATAAAAAGAAAATTCTTCATTTTGATAAGTTTTAACAATATTTTAAGTACAAAACTTGTGAACTTGTGTTTTCAACTGAGGATCAATTAAATTCAGACCAATTTATACAGGTTTTTTTGTTATTGAGAACACCTTATCACACGTGTTTAGTGTTTTATATTCTTATCTATCTATCACAACTTAAAAACATACCGTTTTTTCTTATTCAAGTAGTTTTGTATATTCTGGAATTCATTACATTTATATTCTACTCCAGAGGGTGGATTACTGGTGCACACCCACTTCTTGTGGTTGTTTTCCTCGTGCGCCGTAATTTCAAATGCAAAACGCAATAATTGTCACTTTCGATTGTGCTCTCGTTTGTTTACGCGTTCGCATTTCCGTTCCCGACTAGCGTTCCAGCTCACCATCCTCTCCACTGTCGGTCTACGGCTGTCCACCCACGCGCAAGATGGATGTGTGACCTCTTCAACCTCGCGAATTTTCGAAATGTTAGAAAATTAGTAAACAAGACATCCATACTAGGTTTAGGGAAACTCGGCATGCTTTACGTTAAGATATTTTATGTTGTGAATGTTATTTTGTTTCCTTGTCTCATGCTAGGAATGTTTATTTCTTATTCTAATTGTATTTGTGAGCGGTTAATCTTGAGAACTCTTACATTATAACAAACAGAATGATACAAAACATGTATATAAATTAATATTTTGTCAAATTTATAATTATATAAATATCATTTGTGATTGAATATAAAAATACAGACAAAAATGTTTTTAATTATGAGTTTTCTTATTTTATCACTCTGTATGTTATCTAAAACGTCTATAATTTGTAAAACAAAACAAGTCCTATGTCTACGGCAAACATTTTGGTATTTTAGCACGACATTTCTTGCATGTAATACTTGCAAGCCAGATGCATCTTACTTCCATATCTGTTGGGGAAGCTACGCGCCCATTGCAACCGTGAGCGTCCTGCCGGCGTCTTACTTAGTCCGATCCACTAATTTTAATCCTTTAATTAGAATTCCGTTCCGTCGCAGTCGGAGCGTCGCGCATTAATAAACATAACAACTGCGAGAGTTGCACCGAGCACAAACACCGCAAGAAAACGAAAAGGATGTCAAAGGAAAGCAAAGGACGAAACCGGGCGAGCAGCGGGGGTGACGCGAGATAGGAAGGAGTCGAAGATATTTACATGTCGTGCATCTGCTAACAACCCGCACTCTTGCCGGGCACGGCGCGCGCTCATTAGCGAACGAAGCCTTTAATTTCATCCCGGCCTAGACGCAACCGAGGTCGCGCATGCAGCGGCAAACATCCTGCATATCCTGCACATTCTCCATATTATTCACATGTGAGAGATGACTGTGTGTGGATATGCTAGCGCACATGGGGATTTGCTAGAAAGAAAGGCTTTTGCGTTTAGCGTACGGCGAGCATTGCCAAAAACGGATGCACTTATGCATATTGTCTCTTCGTATATTGCGCTAGGTACGTTTTCGGCCGTATTACTGAGCTATTCGTTTCGATAATGCAACGCGGAAGTTTACATTAGGCATATACAATATGTTCAAATAATTAAACATGCCTAAGATTCATGTACAATGAAAAAAACAAAATATTAACTAAAAAAGAAAATGAATCTAATATAATTTGTGTATGGAGATATGTTATGTATGAAACATCGATGCAAATTGTGTTGCATAACTTAAATATAAATCTAGGCAAATTTAAACCCTCAACATCACTTCACCATCTAGCGATGTCGGTTTTAACTAAATAACCACGAAAACTTAATGAGAATTAATGATTTCCTGTTTTATTTTGATTAAACACATGGTATGACAAATGAATATATATCCATCGATAGCCCATATTAGGATAAATGCAGTAAACGCATAAACGCATCGTTCCGCCGAATCGTGCGCCACTTTGACTTTAAGCCTGAATCCCTGAGTATTCCTGCCTATATCCTTTGCAACATCCCCTCTCTATGACGCATCCTGCACATGTGTGAAGTAGTGTGCGTCCACTGCAGTGTGCAACTTTGATATGCATGCACATTACATACATGTGCATAGAATCGGTGTGCGAATGCGACGGTTCTGTCGCTCGAAAAGCTCGCAACGCTTTGGAAAGCAGCCAGACGCCGCCAGAGTCGTGACGCCGCGAGCCGCCAGCGGCAGTACGCGCGCGGCGCTCGCCGCCTTCGCGCGCGCTTTCGCCGCTCCCACAAACAAAAATTCTACTCTCAAGAAGATCGCGACGATCACGTTGTCAAAATACAATTCAAAATACAAAATACGTAAACTTACAAAGTTAGGAATTTCATAACATAATTATGATAAACTAAAACTTATTTCATTAAAAATTATTATGAAATTATAAGCCTGGGATAATAAAATTTGTTAAGAAAAAACAAGTTGAAGAAGACCTTCCAACGATGGACAAATGGTCCACGAAGGACAACGAAATAAACAACATCTTAATTAATATGTAACAAGGTCGGTATTTGTATAAAAACAGTTTTCAAATGCATAAAAATTGATTGATTTGTTTTGCAAATTGATTTCTAATTTTGCAAATCATGTCTATGATTCATGATTATTCAGAATATGCTAGATAATTTTTTTGCTCGTTTCAAATAATCAATCTTCAATATTATAAAACGGCTGTATCAAAAATTCCAAGATTATTTCAGGTCGTTTTTTTGTTTTGCTTGTCATTTAAGTAGTTTGACCGCGGTTAAATGCGACGAAAGACGTTGAAGTCCGTGTTCGCGTTTTGCATTGCGCCTTAGCCACTTTAGGGCTATTAATAAGTGAGAAAAGCTCGCGGACTAAAAATAAGTCGCGACTAATTAAACTCGCCGTGAGGACGCGCGGAGAGATCCTCAGATGCTCTCCATTAGTTTGAGTGTTTTTTGCGTTTTCTAATACTTTAAATTTCTACGTAAAAAAATAGATATTTTTATTTGAGATTTATTACATCGAGATGTTTTGCATGTTTCATGACTCGATGAACATGATTTATGTAATTCGACGCTGCATAATCGCACAATAATTCAGTACAATCGTTGATTAAAACTTTCCACTGCATCGATAACTGTCGTATTGCCGGCGTGCATCGATTGTATTCGTTTTTGTTTTGCGATAGTAACGGCTAAGAAGGCTGCAAATCTTAAAAATTAAAACCGGCGCGGTCCGAAAAAGCTAATAATTCATAGCGCATTAAATCAAAAACGTGGAAACGCCACGCCGTTTGTCGCTATAAAGCATTGTCGGCGTTCGGGGCATTCGGGGTGTTCAGGGTGCGCATTCGGATGAGGGAGAGTTCACGGAATCGTAAAGCCGGTGCGACGCGACGCTCTCGAATCGTAAGATACTGTCTGGTGGTGGGCTCGCGCGCGCTAATATTGCTTTAATGCCAGCCAGCGTCGCGTTTTCGAATCGCGCGGCATCGCGCCCGGGGCGAAAATAAACCAAATTTGACGCTCGGATGCATCCGCCGGCTATAAACTTAACTTTTGCGCGCGCGCCCGATGCGAAATGGGTCAACGAATCGTAACTTTTAACCTCTTTCCAGCGCCTTTTTCCTTGCGGATACGAATGTGCGTTGGGTTGCGGCTCAGCGTGTGGTACGCATTCGTCGCGAAGGTCGAGGAAACTTGAAATGAAGAAAAAAGTGCGGAATTTATTTGTTACGAAGCGCGCGCGACATGGAAGCGCATTAAAAATATTTAGAAAGATAAAAAACAAGAAAACAAAACACGAATAACTTACATGAATGTTTTTATTGGTGATTTTTTTCGCTTCAACACTTTTTGTTGTCTCGAAGAGTCGGAACTTATTCAGTGTCACTTTAAAGTGACAGGGCGATGTGTAACGAACTGGAATAAGAAGAAAACTGCCTTAAATTGAATGTTAAACACAAATTTACCCAAAAATTTGGTTGATTTTAAAAACAAGGAAAGTTTACTAATATTATTTGTTAGGGCAGAAAAAAATTAGTAAGATTCAAGTGAGATTTTTGTGCTGATGAAGTGCTTTCACAGCATGCGCAATTTTCGCTGACAAATTTTCGTCTTTTTCGGCTTGTTTCGTTTTTGCCACACCGCTTGATAAACTGCGGCAATCTGAAAATTCCCAACACGTTCGCATCAATCCGGCGCATCGGGCCATCAGACACGTCCGTCGATAAATCAATCAGCGCATTAATTCCATCAGCATTTCACTGAACACAACCATGTTAACGCTGTGTTACATTTTGTAATACATTCTGATTGAAACAACTTCCACAAACCAAACAAAAATACCAATTTGTGTACATTGCATTGCTTCACTTCATTGCAGATGTTAATAATCAATTATTACTATATTTTTCATTTAGTTTTGTTATTGTTTACATTTCAAAGTGTTCCAATGTCAAATTTGTATAAAGTTTGGAAAGTCTGGAGCGTCAGCCACGCACGTTTTGGCATTCGCACTTTATCCACCGAGTGTGACCGCAATTTACACTACTCACACGTTCGGTGAATGAAAGTCAAGTGGAAATTGCATCAATGGGTCAATAGTCTTTGGCAGCAGCTTCTTTGGCTCAGCGTGTCGGCGTGATGATCTTGTGGGCACAAACGCACGCCAAATCCACACGTGGCGGGCGCGCGACGTCACGACGCGTGCCGCAACGTAAACCCGGGCGCGTCGCCCGCCGCCGAACGTAAATGCGTAAACGATAAATCGGAAGCTCGCCTGCCAAACGCGACGCAGCGCGTCGCCAAGAATTGATTTCCATTTTTTCGTGTTAGCGCGTCGCGGATTGCACTTGGAGGAGTCGACAGCCGCTCAGCTGATTGGGAATTGAGCCAAACGTGTAAGAAGGGCATCTCCGGACGTGTAAATTATACTTTAAGTGGTCAATTATACTTTAATACAAACAATTCAATTTATATGCCAAGGAATTCATTAGGTCTATCTTCAAACCAAACATAACCATATTTTTAATATATGCAACCAAATGCACAAAAATAATTTTGTAATAAGTATTACTTCTTTTATCGCAACACTAAAATACTACACCAATTGAATAGACCATAAAATACCTGCTTAGACAGTGTTATCACAAAAAACGAGCACGGTCTCAAAAAAAGTATCGAAATTGCAGATGTATCGAGTTTCCCGCCGTCTTCCGCCTTCCTGTAGCCGCTTTATTGTCTTCCGCGCTCTCATACTCTAATGTTCTGAAGTCGCCCTAGTCATTTCTGTAAGTTAGGAAGGAAACTCGCGTTGCTCGACGACGATAGCGCCGAGACGGTCGAGATGCCCGCGCCCGCCCGAGAGATAAAAGCCGCGCGGGCGGCGGAGGTAAAAAACTATAAAAGACGAAATAAAAGCGATTACAATTTAGGAAATACATCTTAAATTTATCGACGCCGGGGACGCGCTCCGCTCGCCTCGCTCCGCAGTGCCGCAGTCAAACTGCAGTTTATAAATCAGATGAAATTGTGTCTGAGTGCGCCACTACAATTTCGCCTGGACAAGTTGGCGATAGTTTTTACGTATTTTCAATCGTTACTTTACCCTATTTCAATGTTCACATTCATAGGTTTATATTAGAAATTAACATAAACGTGAACTCAAAACATATGATATGCAATACAAGTTGCCTACATTAACAAAGTGTTTATTCATTTGAAACGGTTGAAGTCATCGCAAGTATTACGCAAACATTTTATTAGTTTCGGAGACAATAAAAAATAGGAAATAAAAATATAAGCGTAAAAGTGGACCCGGAAAATACCAACAAATATTCGTCCGCAAATGCGGCGGCGTTTACTCTAACCGCTCGTCCTGTTTCGTCCTCGCTTCTTATTTTCTTGTCTTCGCCCCCCGATTGGAAGTCGGAAACGAGGATGCGAGCAAACGGACGAGCGTTTTTGGTCGACGCGCTCGATTTGCTTCTCTCGCGTGTGTTTTTATTTCTTAGTATTTCGCAGTGGCTCCCGTTTTCGATATAGCAGATATCTTCGGACGACGCCACAAAATGACGGGAAATATGAAAAATACCAGGAATGCTGCTTCCACGCGCATGATGCAACGATTCAGAAAATTAAATCTAGCCATGTGACCGCGAAATAAAGTAGATATAAAACAGTGGAGAAATGTTTGGAAAACTTTTGTGAAAATTTATGTTTTTGCAGTTATGAAAGTCAAAACTATCATCTTAAATCAATTTAATTTCCAAAATAATATTTTACTATATTATAATCTTGACCTATACGTATACTATCGTTTTTTAGTGATTTATACAACACTGAAGGTAGTACAAAAACGCGTTTGCACGTTTGGTACACGGCTCACCTAAAAATAGTTTCAGCTCAACTATAATTAGTGCATTGCCATCGCATCATCGTCCGCCATAAAGCAAAACATGTCACTACATAAAGTAAACACAATAAAAACTAAATACAGCAGTGGAAAATATTTTTCGAAATAATATCGATGAAGTAACTTGAAAACATTCACTAAAAACTAAAAATTTATTGACGTTTAAAGTCGCCTGTGTGGCAATCGCAATAGTCAAGCTCAAGCACGGAACGCAGCGGAAATCGTAGATTAAAATGGAAAAACGCCCCCGGATTCTCTTTTTCATCCCTCACACTCCGCAAGCCTCAAGAAACCGACGACGCATTCTCTCATCTCGCTTCTTGTTTCGATCTGTTCTATTTGTCCTCTGCGCATAAACATACTCGAAATATCAACGCTCGACGCATTGTTTCTTTCTTCTTATGAATATAAACATGAATACGTTTGTGATAGGGGGTGGGAAGTTAGCGTTGGTGATAAACAAACCGACCCGCATAACCGAAAGGCAATCGCCGACTCAAAAACATCGAAATTCTTGCAGCAGTGCGCGATGTGGAATGCAAAATGTGCAATTGAAATGTTGAAACATTGAAAACTTCCCTAGACGAAGCGCTGAAACCTGAAACATCTTTGGAAACTGCAAAAGCGCACAGCGTTCAAAGTCGCAAAGTCAAAGAGCACGAAGAGAGGGTTGAGACCAAGGTTTGGGGTTTGGGGAACATGGCCCCGGACCGGAACACAACATGAGCACACAAAACACGCAAAAAGACAAGCTATAATTCTTGCATGGTCATCGAGAATATTTTCTACATCGTATAACTTTTAAACATACCAACTGTTCAAAGAATACATTTAAAGTGTGTGGTTTTTATTTTGTTTCAGAATAATTCTATCGTCATCTGATCCACAACGTTATCTGATGACTTCATGGACTAGATTCTCTTGGATAAGTACTGGAACGCCGTTTGCTCATTTTGACCGACGTTGACCTTCGAGCAAACAGCGTTTTTGCTTCGTTTTGTCGCAATCCACGAAGTAGTCTTTGAAGTTGCCTACACTCCGCGTTTGGTTATACGCTGTCGCGTCATCCAACATGTCCGCCGTCTTCTGATCAAAGGCCGCGTTCATTTGCGACGCGACGACGCGAAACTTGCGCTAATTCGCTTTTCTATGCCGCAGCACGTACTCGGTCAGAGCGGTAGCGTTTTCACCTCATTTCCTCGTTTCCTCGTTTCGGCGTGGATCGATTAATTTTCGCAAGGTGGACGAAACATTTGTGTCGCGGTTTCGTGCACTTTCACACGTCGCTGAAATCTTTCGATATTTTATTCAACATTATGCTAAAGTTTGTACATATAAAATAACTTATCTAAATAAAATAACGAAATATTTCTTGAAACGAGAAAATAACGAAATTAAAAATAAAATAAAAATCTAGGCTTTTAATTTCACGAAAAAATAACACTTTGTTTTCGAATTTGAAGTAAGTACTGTTATTTTGTTTTATAATTATTATTATAAACGTATTGATAGTCTCGGTTTAAATTTTTGTGATTTGTGAGAAATAACCATAAGCCACTTGAAAACCCTCTGATAAAACTAATGTAAAAACGATTTGTAGCGATTTAACTTAACAATATTATATGATTAGAGAGTATTGACCGGTTCTAGACCACTTTCTTGCATGTACGATGCAAAAAAAAAACAAGAAATTGTATTTTCAATACGAAGGCATTAAAGAAAAAAAACGTACAACAAAACGAAAAGCAAAGCAATAACTTTGATAAACGTCTGAAATTTGTAGGTTATGTACAAATTGACACTAAGAAAACCAAAGATATACGTAACTATATGATTATCTAAATGAAGAAACATGTACGAGCAAAACAAATAAATGCTTTATGATAAATCTGCAGTAAACGCAAAACTAGATTAAGCTTTGACATTTTGATTATGGTTGTAAATTCGGTCGTCCAAGTCCAAGTCCAAAAACGGCCTACATTTCTATAATAAATTGACTATAAATATGGAGCAAAAGAAGTTGCATACGATTGCATGCGAAGAGTACGACGAGCCAAATAACCAAATAAGATGCAACCAGTGCAATTATATTCGCCAATAACTCAAATTAATAGTCATTTTCGGTGCCAACACAGTCTAACAATGTAACTGCTTGTATCGCATACAAAATGAGCGTTAAAACAATAGAAGACATGATTAAACCCATTAAAACTCTTCAAAATAAAGCAATGGTGTTTTTTCAAGGTCATTTTAGTTTTAGTTTGATTGTCACACAGACAGTAAGCTTCAAAATTCTCGGATTCATAAATACATTCGGCTAGTGAGACTATGATAAAATTATAAAAGAAATACTAAAAGCTAAAGAAATATTGAAGATTATTTAGCTGAGTAGCGTATTTACTAGCGCCCTCTCTATACACAGGGCCCATAGCGGATTTAGTGGCCTTTCAGTGACTATATTACAGTATATTAAAGCATAACTTAATAAAATATTTAAGATTATACGAATATTTACTGAATCGAACACCAAAAAAGAAAAGTAGAGTACGTTTAAGGCTCAAAATGGAGACTGTCAAAATGTCAAACGTGTAAAATATGGACAGCTAAAGAAACTTTGAGGAAACTTTGAAGAAAGGTTTTGTAAAATGTATTTATTGAGATTAAAAGGGCGCAGTTTATGTCCGAGATATAAAATAACACACACGCATACATAACCTACGAGTATATTCTTATGATGACAGTAAGATTATAAATATTATGAATTATACTCTTTCTTCTTCTATATTGGAATAAAATGGTTTAAAAACTCAAATTTTCAAAGCCATTAATATTTTTTGCCATATTAAAATCCTATTTGTGTCACGATAAACTGCGAGGTTAGTTTGCAACCCATTAAGCAGTATCCATACGTCCGCACTTGCGGCGGAATGAAGATCGCGACCTTCCTCGTTTGCGGTAATTTCATTTGGGCCACCCTTCTGCTTCACCCTCCTTTCGCATTGCTCCTCGGCGCTCTTTGCGCGCTCGGCGATAAAACGCTAAAATCTTTCCCCTTCATCAAGCAATTCGGCGGCTCCGGCTTGGTGAAACAAAAAAGGATCGAGGCACATAAACAGCTTCTGTCTTCGACCACGATGGGAGTTTATAAAGAAAACCACCCAGCAGCGGTAAGGGTTTTCCGGGATGCACATTAATGGCCGCGTTCGAGTTTTTCTTCGCCAAGGGCGTGGAGGGATGACCTCTATCTCGTTCACAGTCAAGCGACCACAAGCGAGTAGGCAACCAGCATGACGCATGACACCATACCGCCATGCCACTAGCGCATTACGACGATATTTACGACCATGAGAGCTGGACGGGAGTGAGTGAAATCGATTTTTCACAATTTCGTTCATCTTCACGTGTCGTAAGCATGATGTTACTTAATGGGATTCACGCAAAGTATAATGCGAGTGAGCGAGCTGTTCACTGAATATTCACCCCATACTCGCTGCGTGTTTTAACTTGTTCGCACACATTAGGACATTATTGATAGTGTAATTTGTGTCTTTGTAATTCACCGCTTGCGGAGAAACTCACCACATATTCAATGGCACAATGTGGGAATGGCGAGAAGTAGTCATTTATGTGTGTATAGGTTATGTGCGTTTCTCGTGTGTTGGACATTTAAGACTGGCACATTAAAATCACACATTTGTGCAATTTTCAGTCGCATAAAGAAATTCCTTCAATAAAATGTAGAAAAGAAGTATCGAAATGGTTATAGGCAACACAACATACAAATTACGTAAGTATTAGTTTTTATTAATTGTAACTATTCTATTTTTATCAAAATAACGCAAACTTTTTCAAATAGTTTTCTTCAAGTCTGAGTAGGGAGAAAAAACTTCGCAAAACATGTGAAATTTTTCGTAAAAGTCGAGGACGTTGCGTAGAAGTGTGGAAAAACTCCATAAATCACAGGCGGAGCACCCCCGCCCGAGCGCGAACTTTTTGCGCCGTTTTAAACGTTAACCGAATTATCGTAACTCACAACGAGCCGCCCCCGCTCCGAACGTTAAAAACGCGCCGCGCTAATTAACAAAAACTTTTCGCCTATTTTTTCAGCTTCTGTGCTTATTTTTCCTTCGCTGCGCTGCGCCGGAGTGATGCATCACACATTTCACCAACAAATTTTCTAAACGAAATGTCAACATGGAAAAAATAAGCGATTTGATCGAATCACACTAAGCAAGTATTGAGAAACTTTGTTTGTGCACTTTTTATAAATTCAAAGTTATGTACTTGCAAAGTTATAAAAACAGCTCGCAAAGAAAAAGTGAAAATACATTAATGCTGGAGACTTTGCTAAATCGAAGGATAACAACAATCTGCATTCCTATTTGACGTAGCGAAGTGTGCGGTATCTCTACTAATGCAGAGAAATAAAAATGAAAACCAGTCATTCGTAATGTCAACGCAAACGTTTTAATAAATGACAAAGGCGGCATTAGTGCATTTTATTAGCAAAAGAAAATGTCACACGTGAATTATAGTTAATAATAAGATTTTCACACAAAACTGCTTAGTTTTGAAATTAAACGCAAAAAAGATTGAAACAATGAAATAATCATTCCATTATATTCTAAATTTATAATAGTTTATAGTTAATTGCGTACTCATTAAACTCACACATGAATAGCCCTCGAATAGTCTTTGCATAGCTGATGAATGTTAACGACGCTGAGTGAGATGACAATGAACGAGAAATCGTGTTGTAATGAAAATTAACGACTCTTCTTCTCTGCTTGCAATTGCGAGTGGTGCTGCGTCTCGTTCGATTTGTGAAATGTGCCGAGCCGGACCTTAGTAATATTTCGCAAGCAGACAGTCGTATTTAGCTGCGCGGCTACGAAAATTACTAAATAGAAAACACGAAAATGCCATCTTGCCATCTTTGCCATATTTGCCTAAATTGCTTAAATTATTGTACAGTTGACTGCGAAATAATCGCAGGCGCTTAAAACCAAAGGTTATTTTCTTTAATTATTGTTTTAGATGTAGAAGTAGGTAAATACTAAAAGTGCAACTTTATTTGCAGAACTAATTTATAATTATATGAAATTTAAACGTCAAAATATATACTAGAATTTATAGTAGTAGGTTATTCATTACTAATATATACCTATTATGTGCATTTTGTCCGAGTAAATTTTAATAAAAAGCAGTCTATCTAATTTCTTTCTTATTTCTTGTTCTTATTATCTCGCGAATCCATCAATAAGATAATCACTTTCAATTAAAAATTCTTTAATTAACGGAGAAATGTTAAAAATGTAATTTAACACCATCTCGGTTTGCAACTATGATTAAATAACCATATGATCTTTCAGCCCTTATTTTACACCATTAAAAATATATTTTAGCGACAAAAAATAAACTTTTTAATTTTTTTGGTCAAAAATATATCTATGTCAAAATTTGTGAAAGCGTATATAATATTAGCTAGGATTTCATAAGTTCGAATGTAGATAAAATAAAAATATATATTCAGCTATATATGAAATTTGTGTGTGTTTGTTTGTTAAACCAAAAAAAGCAAAAATAACAGAGGCATAATGCACACTGCAAAATGCGTATAAAAACGTGTATAAAAAGCGAATAAATCAATGCAATGCGCTGAATCACCAGATCGCTACGATTCAGTTTTCAATTTCATCCATTGTTTTTATTTGCCTTGTAATGCACGTAATTATATGCTATACATTGCAATTTGTAATTGCAAATCGCAAATTGAATTCGCGCAGGTAATATACTCTTTAAAAAACTTTAAAATGTAGTAATTTGATATAAATAACAACCAAGCAAGTTTACGTGATATTTTTCTTATTTAAAGCTAAAAAATCAAAATTATTAAAACAAGTTTTTTTTGCATTTCTATTTTCAAAAAATGTCAAAAATTCTTAATTTCTCTAAAGTAGCCCACACCAAAACAACCGTTTTTTGCTACCCATGAGAAAGCAGCTCACACCTCATCAACGTAACGTACGTCGACGAATGCCAAATGTTAATCAAAAGAAACGGTGTGTTATTTCCTCCTCGTTCTTTTTTATTGTACACTTCCAGTGTATCTTATAATTTCTCTTCTTTGTTTAACTCGTAGTTCACACGCGTGATAGTCTAGCATTTAAGACAATTTCAGGCTGCTTGGTGGATGTGGGTAAGTGTGTAATAGCGGTATGAATATCACGGGCACGAAGCGGCGGCACTTTTATTAAAAGCGGCTAATCGCCGGCCGACTCTCGCATTGTGTTCAGACGCGCGTCGAGTGCGTTCGTCGAGTGTTCTGTTTGTATCCGAATCAGAAGTTCTATCAACTTAATCAAGTGCAAGTCATTCACACCGAAAACTACTGAATAAGTAGTTCAGAATTATATTATAAAAGATATAATATATAACTAAATGTAAACAAAGTGATAACAATGATATAAATATACAATTATAAAACTTTGTGTTAAACACTCAAAAGGTTCAAAACATCAGATATTAGGTAAGCACGTGTCATAATATAAATAAAGAAACATCAAAGTGTACTGAAAAAATCACAATATGATTAAAATAATTGCACAAAACATTCGTGTGTATGCTAATACACGCAGATATGTAGATATGTGTTTTCTATTTTGAAATTCAAAGAAATAATGAAATAATGTTTATTAGTCAATGGCATTTTTATTTATTTAAACGCACCACCAACTTAAACTATTTCTTTAATTAAGATTATTCAAAAATCGTTAAATCTTGCACATTTCGCATGATAACTAAAATAATGCGCTTTCCAGCCAATAAAACTCAAGCAAATCGTATAAAATTCAATAAACTTGAATGACTCAAGAAATAAATGCAAGAAATCAGAACGTTTTGCAATGTAAACATTTTTGCGATTGCGATTGCGATAATCACGTTAAATGGTTAAATACATATTAAATTTAATTATAAATTTCAGGTATAATTCAAAATCAAACCAATTTATTTATTATCATATAAATAACCCGAAAATTGAAGAAAACATATTTTTATGAATTTATAATATTAATATTCATGAGTGTAGATTTTTGTTTGGATGACAATAATAATGTTTCAAGGCAGTGTGGTATTTTGATCGTTACTCTGGTCGTTTTATGCGTTTTGTTATGAAACAATATGGTTTAATTAACCTTTTGTTTGTCACTTGCTTTGCATTCAACTCGTGTGCTCATTGCTCGGTGATTATTGTTTATTCTTATAATTATTCACAGAGATTGTGTACAATATTACTATGTAATGTACCTTTCCTTTAATATTTTCACTATTCATCATTATTTGCAAAATTCTTCGTAGCAAATAAAACAAATATTGCTAAAATTTGCAAAATTTTGCGGATGTTTAATATTTAATTTTAAAAAGAAACTAAAATATATAAACATACAAAATTAGTAAATACAAATATTAAAACACTCTCTATATTATTGATTTAATAATATATAATAATATATTCCATTATCCATGACATCTATAAATTGTTACAGCGTAGCCAATATCCAATAGCGCATTAAATAATGACAATTTCAATGAGTCTCCAATATTGAATTGAAATCTTTGCGTATTTACCGCTTGTTTCATTGGCACAGTCGGTTTTGTATGTTTTCAATGCAAAATTCCAGTTTCACTATTCATTTTCAATCGCTTACCTACTGTTCATGTAACATCTAACTGATTCTAAATGATTCAATGTTTGCGCACAAGTTGCACAATGCTAACGTCAAGTATGTTCGCGTATGATTTGCATTATCAACTACTTAACACTTTTATTTTGTGATATACCTACGAATATGTGCGTGATTTTAAATATTTGTATTTTTAATTACTGATTATTCATTCCACTTGCATATATCACAAGGTTTGTTTTAATTGTAGACTTTTATAAGAATTTCTAATGAGAAATAAAACTGTTTATGCTAAGAAAATGGTGTGGAAATGCATGTATGAGAGATTTGTACATAATTATCCGTAATTATCGATAGTTGTCGATATATAACCTATAATAATTAGTAGATATTTTTAATCGTTTATTATTATGTCTTATTATCGCATGCAAAGATCATTTATTCTTTAAAACACTGCATTATTTATTATTTTAATGATTTTTTTACTAAAAAAACTAAAAATAAAGCATTATTGTAACCTTGGTTGCCTACCTACGCAAAAGATATGTCAACCTTTTAACCCAGTTCAATACCGATTCATTTCAATATAAATATAGAAGAAATAAGTGACTACTTCCAGTGTTACAACATAAGATTTATTTATGCTAATGTATTTTCTTATGACTCTAATCTAAATATTCAATTAACATCTGAATGTGCCTGACCATTTGAATGCTGACTGTGTGTGAAGTTAGAAAACTGTGCAATCTGTTCAACGGATTTATATCCGACATTGTGCGCCTTTAAAATATTATTTCATATTGCACTTCGTTATGCTGGTAATTTATGAATTATGCAAATAATATCTTTGTGTTTACACAACACAAAACGTCATTAAACTAAACAATCTCTATCTACAGCTATTAATTAAAATAAAAATGTGTTTACAACGCTGCTCTTAGTACTCATATAGTGTAAAATATTTGATGATAAGAGTATTACAGTAAGAACACTTGCAGTTGCTAAACTTGAGTGTTTGTTTGAGTGTAAGTGACGATTTCGACATGTGGTTTTATTTGCCATTTGTCCATTTGTTGAATTATTGCTCTTTATTGCATTTTTTCCTTTTTTGCTTTCCTATTGCGACTTTTCGATTTGCAATCATCACGATTTAGATTTGACTCTAGATATTTTGTGTCTTTGACTGGTTTTTATATACTAGAGCGATTATCACGAAATAAAGCTAACTAGTTTATTGTTTAATTGAGTCGCGGCGAGAGCAATGACTACTTGGTGGTATTTCATGGTAATAACATTTAATGTGAATGAAAATATTACGCTCGATTAATGCCGGTTTCTTATGCGCTCTAAATGAGTGCAAATCGATGTTTTTATAAACGTTTATTTACTTATTACCAACAATTTTATACTTGATTTAGCTTAAAGCAAAAAAAGATAAATTTGGTAAAATTTATGATTTGCAAATATTTTTATAGAAAAAATAATATTTGTTTTACGGGTTTATCTAATAAATGAATATGAAAATGTAATTAAAAGATGCGCACGTCATTAAAAGAAAATATTTATTTCTGTTTAATCGAATGTATTTGAATTTAATTACCTTCAACGCACGTAAGTTATGTTAAACTTGATATTTGTGTGATTAAACACAGTGAGGCCAATTGATCAGTATGTGAAGGCCAATTTATATAAACAGAAAATAGAATTTTCACTTTTATTTTAAAATAGCTTATGCTCGCAACTTATACCGTGTAAATTTTAATAAAAAATTGTTTAATTTTCTTGTTTCTAAGGACGAATTATTTAAAATATGAGTTGATACAAGATTATTAATTTTAATATAAAAAAATGAAAAGATGCTAGTAATACACTGCAGCGCCATCTCGATTCGAATTAGATAACTACACCTCTCATTAAACATCCATATCAACTTTCTTCCTTAATATAACACTCTTCAAGTTATACCTATATTTGTAATAATAAGTACCCCACTTGCTTTTCCTTGGTTAAATCTACCATTATTCTAAAATTTATCCAAATTTACTCAGAAGCTCATCCGTGAAAGCGGAACAAACAAACGCACCTTTCATATTTATAATATTAGCAATAATTTCTATTTGCTAATAAATCATAACCAAAAGATTTTTTATTTGAATACGCACTAATGCCTGTAATATTTACAGATAACTCAAATTGCTTAACAAAGCTGCTAATTAATGTCGCAATGCGTAAACGCGTAATAATAAGTAACACTAGAGTGCAGTCAGTAAGTACTCATAAAATAATATACCTAAGAATCAATTACCGTAACTTATCGTGCACCACCTTGACATCGCCATTTTTTAACCCAGTTTTAATAACTTTTACGCATTTTTAAAATTTTTATTAATATCGATAATGATGATTTTTAATAACTTGACATTTAACCAATGAATTTTTCTGTAGATTTACTTAGCGCTCTCTTAAACATTGATGTTTATGTTTCCATTGACATTCCAAATGGTCATGCTTGATTTATTTAAATTTTCGCATTGAAATTTGATCAACAATATCAAATATCTGCTCTTTTATCAAATTGGTTCAAAAAATTCGTAACATATTAAAATATTTTGGTGTTATACTTAATATTTTTAATGTTTCAGATTTTTCTGCTTCAAAAGTTAGTAAAATTGAAGAAAAGTGAGAGATCATGGCCTCAGTGGCGTGCGATGTGGTCACCGTCGCTCTCGCCTTCCTCGGCGCATGGTGTCTGTTCTGTTTCTTGAAGGACACACTCGTGGTGCTCCTGCAGACGGTTCGCGGCCACCTCGCGCCTTACCTGCTCGCCGGTTACGAAGAGTCGACGGTGAAACGCTTTGGCGAATGGGCTCGTACGTGCGCACTCTCAATTCACACTCATTTCACTCTCTACCGTACACAAACGCAATTTTATTTACAGTTCATGATCTCGTTTGAGTAAAAATCCAGTGCACAAATGCACAAATTGCATGATCATTCTCAGCATAAGCAATCGTTTGATTCTTTCCTAACCTTTGCACCTTTCCATTTTCGTGCAGTTGTTCTTGTAATGCTTTATCTTAGAGTCATATAGACGCATGCGTTTATTCTTGAGCAACTTCAGCAATGTAGGCAATACCGCATGTAGAGTCATCAATAACCGTGTGTAATTCCTTTTAATTCTTGCGACATCAAAGAAAACTGAAATCTTGAGGTAGATGAGTTAAGACAGCCTTCAGGTTATCGCCATACGTGATGACGAAAGAAGCGGTTGGCGTATAAACAATCATTTAATCATAAATTATTATTTATGCATTTTGAATGATGCACAAAACAAATATTTGATGCAATGTGTGCATAAATTAATGTTCACATAAACAAATACAAAAATTCGATGTAAATGTTAAAACACAATTAACATTTACATTATTTTTGATTAACTTTAACATGAACATAATGTTTTGATCACGTTTTCCAATTATTTTCGCAATTGTAATGCCTAAACAACTTGTTGGTTGCTTGTGACACGAATGCGATAAATTACCAATCCTGAAGAGTCAATTATTGCAATTACATTGATTACATGAGCACCGAACCGTACCATCAGTCAGTTTCTTTCCGATTGCTTGTGTTTCACTTAACTCTTGTGCTTGGCTAATTGAAGATTTCCGTGAGTTGACAACCTGACTTTTATTTTAGTGTTTTTGCTGTCAAGCCAGCTTTCCAAAGAATTATTTATAGAATAGAAAAAACATTCGGTTACATAAAATGGCATTAATGATGTTAATCATAATAATAGTAATAATAATAACGTAATAATTTATTTAATAATTGTAATATTTTATTGATGTTTGAATTGAACTTTCAGTGGTAACTGGATGCACAGATGGCATTGGTAAAGAATATGCCCGACAATTAGCAAGCAGAGGACACAGCATTATTCTCGTTAGCAGAACGGAGAGTAAACTTCAATCAATTGCACAAGAACTAGGTAATTAATCAATATACATATGAAAAAATTAATAAATAACTTTTTTTATGATTTCAGAACAAGCATATTCAGTTAAAACAAAAATGATCCAGGTGGATTTTTCAGAAGGGCGAACAGCAATCGAAAAAGTTCGAAAAGAAGTTGGGAATATTCCAGTGTCAGTATTAGGTAAATTTTGAGCGTTTACATCTTATAACTGGGTGCAAAGTCGCAATTGCTCAACGCAATTCAAGTCGCCTTCAAGTTCAATGTGTAATAGCATAAATTGTACTTTCACTTTACAATTTTTCATACATTTCTAGTTCATAGCCAATGATTCAGTGTAATAATATTGCTACATTGCAAAATTTATGTTAATGTGTGTATATTTTTAGTTAATAATGTTGGTGCGCAATATGACCATCCAATGTACGTCGGTGAGGTTCCAGAACATGAATTATGGAATATTGTGCATCTAAATGTCGGAGCTCTGACGATGCTTACAAGAATATTTATCAACGATATGTTGAAACGTCAACGCGGCGCCATTGTGAATGTTTCATCCGGTGCAGAATTGCAACCTTTGCCGCTGATGGCCTCGTATGCAGCTTCAAAGGTGTGATATATAATTAATTCATCTATTTATATATTTAAAAAAATTGATGCATCTGCTTCAAAACAAATTGACCGATTTTGATGAAATTGTCAAAGAATATTCAGATTATTGTGCAATATTTGGTAGCAAAATAGGTGCAAAATAAGGGATGAAAGTTGTTATGATGATTCAATCATGGTTATAGTAATATATAATTAAAATCGAGATAACGCTGAAGTGCATGATTAGCATTTTATATTTCCCTAAATTAAAATTAAAACGAAGTTGCAAAAGTTTAGAATTTTTTAATATACATTAAATATTTTGTTGTAGGCGTATGTGAAAAGTTTTACACAAGCACTACAATATGAATACCGCCGCTCGAATTTGACTATTCAACACTTGTCGCCGATGTTCATCAATACGAAAATGAACCAGTTTAGCAAACGTCTTCAGAAGAACAGTTTTTTCGTACCAGATGCAAAGATGTACGCTGAGTACGCTGTGTCAACGCTTGGAAAAGTAGATCATAGCACAGGATACTGGACACATGGCATACAGGTAAATGTTTTCACATTTTTTGTTGTACCAGGAAAATACTGATTCGTTTTTTTTAGTGCTTCTTTACGAGAGTGCCGCCATCATGGTTGCGCTTACGTATAGGAGGACAACTAAATGCAACATTCCGAAGAGACTACTTTAAGAGTATACGGAAATGATTTATTATAATATTATTATAATATTTGAAAAGATATAAATACCTACAATCAGTGGCGTCAGGTAATGTCATGGGCGTCGAGCGTATCAACAGTACAATTAAGTTTTGCAACAATTTTTAAGTATTTATAAAATACCTTAAAATTTTGCCGATTTTGTGTAAGACAGGAGATTCTAGGATATTACCTCTATTACGGCCTAATATACGCAGCTACGCCACTGTCTACAATGGTTTAATTATATCTAAGTACTTGTTTAAAAAGGGAGAATTGTAAATTTATTAAATTTTATAAGCTTTGTTTGTACATATCTAGTCAATTTTGTAGACGTATAATTCTTGATTAATGAATAAGTTTTGGAAATAGCCATGACCATTTGGTACATTACATTGTTGTTTGTATTTTGTTTGCTAGAGTGATGTTTTGTTAATGAGAAACATTATAAACGTTTGAAACTGTACTTTCTTAGCATCAAATGTTGTATTTTTTAATGTAAAAACCAGAGTATCTCTCACCATTTTCCTGCCTAACTTTGGTTACACCCTTTTAAATGAAATTCTAAGGAGCTGGTACTATTATGTACTATGCGCTCAACATTTTACTGAATTTGATATAGGCAACACACATTGCAGGATTTTATAGCTATGTGCAAATTCCATAACAACGATCATGCAATTTGATTAGAACAAATATTTTAAAGTTTCGCCAAATCCAATTCAATTCGCAACAGCCTTTGCAACTGTTATAGACAAAGGTGGTCAGCAAAGTTTCCGGCCCAAAAAGATACACATTTCTATTCTGAAATTTCTATTTTATTTTTCTACATAGTTTCCTTGTGACTCCTACCCACTCCTCCCAGCTAGGTTCTTATTTCTGTAACCCGTATAAGTAGTACGTAAATAGTAGGTATAGATGTATAATACATTTTGATATTTACATACATTATAAGATAACATGCTAAGAAGACGAAAAAAACTCAAATCAACATTTCTTGAATGTAAATACAGTAGAGTCCGGTTATAATGACATCGAAGGGAATTGACAAACACGTCATAATAAGCGGACGTCATACAAACCGTTTTGTGAAATTAAAACCATTTTTTACGTAAATATGTACCTAAGTACTTTAATATATAAACATAGTAGGTAATTACAAATGTATATAAGTGTATACATACATATTAAATTAAAATCAAAATTGCACATAATTACATATACCTACAAGAGTATTTTTTACTGTTTTAAATAATCTGTCATTTTTGTCCACTTTTGTTTTTTTATTTTATTGTAAAAAGATTGTCGAATGACCCACCCCAAATTCCTTTGCGAGACGTGAGTTAGATTCTCCATTTTCTAATCTGCTTATTATTGCACCTTTCTCCTCAATTGTAAATGCTTTACGTTGTTGAGTTGACATTTTTTTCACAGTAACAAACACAAGAAACACAACCTCGGGCAGAGTGACGAGTTGTGAGAAGATAAGTAGAAACTGTTCTTAGATTTCAAAGTTGTGGTATTTAAGGTAAGAAAATCGGTCATGTTACATGGTTTGCTAGGACAGGATTGGTTAAGATTTAATTGGTTTATGAAGGTGAAAAACAGACCATATTATTTAAGCATTTAGTCTTTCCGATAGCAAATACATAAAAGTAATTTGACAATCATAAAAGAAATGTAGCAATAAATATAAAAATTTCGCCACGTGTCGAACGCCGTCGGGAATCAACGAACATTACCGGCGGTGTAAAGAATCATGTTGGTCATTATAACCGGACATAATCTATTAAAAATGGGTCATAATAAGCGACATGCCACTGTAAGCGAAGTCATTATATCCGACTTTTTTAAAAAGAATTTTATATTAAAACCAAACTTCGTAGTGTAGTTACGTCATAATAACCGGGTGGTCAATATAAGCGGAGTCATAATAAACGGTTTCTACTGTACCTATAGCTAGAATATTTACAAGTAATTAATTCTTAATTATAATACCCCATATTTTAAACATGGATTCGTATTAGTTGCAATTGTAGGTGTATATTTATTAAAATATATTTTCATTGAACGACATTTGTTGTATTATATTGAATCTCAAAATATAAATATTTTGGTATTTAATTAACAAAAGATAATTACTGATAAAAAATATTTTCTCTAAATATAAAATAATCATAATATTGATACACTCATCGGTAGGTCATGCGCAATCAAATAAAAAAATTCAATTAGTCATTTAAAAAGTAGAAGAATTACTAATAAAATACCAAATATTCCAAAATAAATAATGTCAAGGACTAAATGACCTCATTAAAATAACCAAAAAATAATGCAATGATATGTTTTAGAAGTTGCCTACATTAGACATTCGTTAAAACTCATACAAAACTCTTAAGCAATCCTAAGAAGTATTCAATGCCGCCATAAACAAGAATATCGAGTGTGGTAGTAAGCAACGCTTTCCTGCAAATACCTGTTACCCACAAACATACACGCGCATACGTATTATAAACACACCGTATAGTCGTCCGAGTATACTCAAGACGTTTACCTGCGCGCATGCGCGTCAAGCTTTTCTTGTACCCACTTGAAAAGAAATTTCTCCTGTCGACTGCTTACACGCTCACTTCTTGTGCATACGGTCAGTCCGCACGCAGGCGGCAGGACAACGTCGATCAGGTGTTCGACGTGATCGTGAAAACGAACGAAAAAAATTCGAAACCTAATTCCAAACAAAAAAAAACTTTCAAGTGAAAATGTCCGACGTGCAACGATAGCATCGAATCAAACACAAGTTTGATATGAAATTAACATATTTAGTGATATTTTCAAACAATGAAATTTAAAAAGTTCATATGTGTCTTAGAATAAACTTAAATAAGTGATAATTTAGTGCAGAATCTACAAGAAGTAGGAAACTAAGTTATAAGTCCAGAAAACAACCAAAAAAAACGTAAGTATTGTAAGATTATTCTAAGAAATGACTAAAATTAGTAACAGTAGTGCAATTTTTATGACTTTGGTGATGATAATCTCAAGTTAAATGTCATTATTGTCTTTGTTTCTGTTATTATTGCCAAAAGCGTAATTACGATTGCTAACAGCGCCAACTTTCTTGAAAGCACGACAGGTTGCTTTAAGCTAACGCGCAAACGCAGCTACCCGACTTAGACAAGACATACTTTCATATTTATTTAATACAAAATAAACCTAGTGTTTCAATCAATTCATTCAACATTTAAAAAATATCATGACCAACTCAATAAATTACTTATTCAGTACAAATATAACAAAAAATAAGCAAATTTTGTTATTAATTATCTATTTATAATTACAAACACCCTGTATATTTTTAAGGTGTACTATGTGCTTCTAATACGTAATGAGTGTGCATTGAACACAATCGTTCATTGGGCGTTTGATTATTCGACTAACAGGACATGCATTCTTATTAGAAAGGTTCATAAACGTTTTTGGTTGAATTCAAAAGATTCGAAACGTGACTAATATTTAAATAACCTCAAAATTTTATTACTTAAATTTAGAGACCAACCGAAATTTCGGTTTCGGTTTCGGTTTCGGCCAGTTTCGGCCAAGAATTCTAGTTTCGGCTTCAGTTTCGGTTTCGGCAAAAATTGGCCGAAACTTTCGGCCGTGCCGAAACTCACTGTTCGTGAATTGTCGTGCGTCGCAGCTAATGGCGGTCGCTACTTGCCATCTCAGTTCGCACATTAAAAATTAAATTAATATTATATTAAGTATCAAGTGACTAAACGGGGACTTTACTCACGAGATTGATTTTGTATCTAAAAATCGTGGGAAAACTAGCGTTTTATAGGTAGAAGAGGAAAATATGTTTATGTAAGTTACAGTTTCGGTTTCGGTTTCGGTTTCGGCCAAAATACAGTTTCGGTCGGTCTCTACTTAAATTATAAATTCTATTATTTTGGAATGTGATTTGATAGATATTTCCATGAAAATTGCAACAATACAAAATTTCGAAACCGCCTCGCATTGAAACTTCGATTAGGATCTTCATGAATGAACAAAACAAAATTCGTAAACACATGCGCAAATTGAACATAAGAGTACATTGCAATTGTAGGAATATCAAATACAAACGAACACGGGTTGTTGTAAGCACTTAACTTCGAACGTGTTTGAAGGAATTCAAGCGAGCGCACGAAAAACGGAAATTTCTCAATCGGAAAACGCTTTTGATCTTTTATTTCGATAACTACCAATGAAATTTTACACAATATCAAATAACTGGAAGCAAGTAATTTGCTACTTGAGCCACTTACAACTTACAACTGAAATTCAATCTCTCAAAATATTTTTGTTGTCGGTGACATTTATATTTAATTTTTCATGTTTTTATTTTCGCATACATTCAACTTTTTATCTTATATTTATCATAATACATACATTATACCTTCATAAACATATACTTAAATCAGATAGGTTATGTTGCTATTTGTCTAGCTGTTTTGTATGATTTTGTGTTGTCTTAGTCGTTGTTAATGTGTCGCTCGGAGTCTTTTTTGATTGCACACCGACTCGAAATGCAACCTTCACGCATTCAAGTCGCCGATCCTTAACAACTTACAACGTACGAGCATACGATTAGTTTTTAAATGTGAAAGGTGATTACGTCCAAACAACTTTTTGGGCATAACGCTATTTAATATTAATTAAATTCGTTCATAAAATGGAGGGGCAAAGATATTTTAAACCGTCTGCATCAAAATTTGTAGACTAAAACATGATTTATGATTAGAGCTATAATTAAATTATAAAATACATTATTTAAACATATGATCCACTTCTTTAAACTTTACGTGTGTAAAGTAGGTCCTATTATTCTCGTTTAATAAGTCTTTTCACTTAGAACAGCACTTTATTATACGTTATTAGACTCCGAAAAGCTAAAGAACCAAAGAACAAAAGATATGAGTAATAAAACCACTGAATTACTTGACTGATCCAATTTTGCGCGTGCAAAACTAGTGCAAACTTTATGGATGAAAGCAAATACAATACGCTACATCTTAAATTAAATCATGTTTGAATTTTATTATGAGAACTGATTAAAAATTAATGTCTAGAAAGATTATTGGTGGTGATTTATTATTTTTTAATTTAATAAGTTGTAAATTTTAAGTATTGGTAGTTGTAGATGGTTGTAGATGGTGTCTATTTGACGTTAAGAATTAATTACGCTTTTATGGTCATCGTAGCGGTATTGCAATAATGAATACTTCTTATTACGTGTGTGTATACGAGTAAACTCACACCGATTACGATTTATGCTACGTCGGAGATATTTTTAGATTTGTCTAGAAATATGAATGGAATTCTTTGTGTGACCGTTATTGAAACAACAAAAATCCCCTAATAATCGATCTTTAATTGTGATGACTAAACGTCTGACTATCTTCATGTCTCAATGAAAAACTAATTTAATTTTAATTTTAATAGTTGTTGCAACTAAGTGATTACGAAGAATTCCTGTGACAAATGTGAATTTTGTGAGACATTGCTGACGTCAAAGTGGGGCAAAAAATGAAAGGTGTACTCAACGCCAGACGAATGAAACAAATGAAATGTTTAATTTCTTGCGGGCGAAAGAACAACCTTGAGACAGACGATGAACAACGTCGTCGGGTTGCGCAAAACGCAGCGGTTCCGGTATGCGTCGCCTTAATTTTTACTGTTTCGCATCGTTTACGCGTGTTGCGAGCATGATTCGCAACCATTTTACTGTAAATTTTAAACGAGCTTAAGCGTTTTACTGCGCTTTTATTATGACTTACAAGCAATTAAAAGAGTGTCAAACAAAGGGAAATTCTAACGAAGTTTTCTTTCGTTTTAATTTCTGCAACACAAATAGCACAAGGTTATGTTATGCAACCAATTTTTTCTCAAAATAAACTATACTAAAAAGAAATTAGTCCAACAAATAAACTAAATAATTATATTACACAGCTATAGTTTAAAATTATTAGACCACAAATGTTTCTACAAAGCGTGCTGGAATAATTTATTTTCGTTGTAAATCAGTTGTTTGCACTCGTTGACCAATGGCCCGAGAATACCACCAAGAAGAAATTGTGTAAACTCGAAAAAGAATACAAAAATGTACTTTTTGATAGATCTAAGCACATAAAAGCAAATGTAATTAACTAGTTGATCTTTTTGACGAAAAAAATTCGGTCATTGACGAATGACATTTAATTAACATGTTTTTATAACTCCTTGAAATCGCATCGCAATGATTATCGCCCGATACATTCAATCGCCATCAAATTCGCGACTCATCGACGATGTTCATTGGAAGCACCGCGCGTTGTTTAATTCACGCCGCACCACAACCGCCTGACGGATTCTGAAGAACACGATGACCTACTTTCACTCTTCTTCGGTCGTGTTCTTCTTCTTCATTCGCGGTAATAAAAAGTCACAGCGACGACGCATCCACGCTGCAATGAGTTTAATGTGATCTTTTTCGTCGTTGTCTGCGTCTAGCCGCGACTTAAATTCATTTAATTTTCTTAGATTAGTAGACCAGTCTGGCTTAAGAAATGCATCAACAGTAAAAACACTTAATACCCTCTTTTTATGGTCAGGTAATGCATGATGTACTCATTGCAGGCTATAAATAACAAATATGCGTTCAAAATTAGGAGAAAATTAACTTTTACGAAATTCGCCAGTAAACAAAAGACAATCGTGCGATGTGCGCCACTTCACACTTTAGATTAACATCTAACTTCCTGTCATTCTATAAAAGTCAAAACTCTAGTTTATGATTAATATCGTATGTTTCCGGACGATGTATCAGATTTAACCTAAAATAAATTTAGTACATTACGCCATCTAGCGGGTATTATTTTACTTATTTCGGTACAAAAATGAAAAGGAACCGCGTTAATGTGTATGAAGAATGCATAATTAATTAAACCGTGCAGAGTATGCAGAGTTTACAGATTGCGGAAGCTTGCAAGGAGCACACAAAGAAAAGAAAGAAAACCAGACCACCAGAACACGAGAAGTCGGTTGTTGTTTGCATTCGTCGCGGTAAATAAAACAAACGAATGCAACCATATATGCAAACAAAGTTAACTCATTAACAAAGATGCGTTCCGATGACTATATAACACAATGCATAATGAGTGAATTCGTCACATTTTATTATTATTTATTGCGCTTTTCGCTTTAGTTGTTTGTTCCTCGTTTTTCTGAACACTACGTAATGATTACTATACATATTTAAACAATATGTCATCAATGAATTAACAATTAACATATTTAATTGCATGGTAATTGTTTTGTGTTGAAAAGTTGCGCCATCTATAGTGACAAACAATGTACAATCTAGTTTATTGTCTCATTTATCATTATTAAATTATTATTAACAAATTACAATTGTTGCTTAAATTACTTGAAGCGGATTCGAAACGAATGCTCGCGTTTGCCTTTTGACATTTTTAATGTCGACATAATTTATTCCTTCATGATTGAATATGAAATACAACAATAACATAATAATAACGGCAATTATTGTTACTTAGTACTTACAACTTTCATTGTAACATTCGAGGTGACGTTATACGAGTTCAGTAAATGTTAAAGTTTAAAAAATTTGTTCTCTTTTTTTACAAATCACTTTCGATTTGGAATCAGTTGTGTTTTTCTTACGGCAATTTTGTGACAAGCAGAATATTAACATTGCACGATTACTTAACCTTAAATCTTTCTATTGTCTGTTTCAATTGTGCGTTTAGTACCTGCCATATATTTTGGAAATGTTTATAAACGTCTCTTTATTTTCTCATTGTAATAAACGGTCATGAATCGTCAATCCAATGTTTACCTTTAGGTTATAACATTCTGCAATTATGCAATCAGTTATATTAGCAATTACTAATGCGAAAGTTTAGAAAATTTAGT